CAAACATTTATTGAAACTTTTTTGTCGCTTTTGATGTGGATGTGTTCACTGAAACCCAAGTAGTTTAATCGCAAGACTTTCATTGACCTTCTAGACGACATCTTCATTACTTACTTGAATATGAAATGAGACTTTTAGAAATATTCATAACTTCTAATTCCTTCGGTATCTTTAGTAAATTTACAAGGTAACTCAAAGTCTACTTTTTATCCAATTCATGTGCTATCTATTTGTCGTAACCACTTGCTTCACTGACTAACAGTCTGAAGACGTTTAAAATGCATGTAGGAGCCTTTACTTTTCCTAGTGCTTACTTTCATATTCCTCAAAAATTACAATTTCCTATATATTTCACATTAGATCTGGGATTGATATCAGTTCTAGAAGCATAGGAAGCCAGCTGACAGTACTGGGTAGCTGTTTCTTTCTGATCCGGACTGCCGATGAGTCCCAAACTAGGATGAAACAGCTGCCCAGTACTCCCTACTGGTTTCCTATGCTTCTCGAACTGATATCAATCCGTGGTCTAACCTAAAAACAAATAGAATCTCTACGAAAACCAATTCTTGAAAATTAATCTGATGCTCGCTAGTGACTTGCTACTGGACGAAGTTGCCTAATGTTCTCGTGAGAAGTGGTGACCTGTGGCGTCTATCCATTTGGGAGTGAGGATGGTTCTACTGCCGATGACGTTGGTTGGGGGTCGTGCTAAACCACCAACTGGTAGAAGTTAGAATTCATAGGCCATTGGGTCCAGTCCCAGTGGCTTAGTGGTCTACAAGCTCACCTTGTAACCAGAACGTCCTGGTGTAACGACAGAAGACAAAGGCTAGGCAATAAGTCGTTTATTGAGAAAATCAACAGATATTTATAGATTTTTATGTACATTATTCTCCGTTTTCGTTAGCAGAGAAGTAACGCCTTCTGATTGGTTGTTTTCCTGCTGAAGGGCATTCTGTCATCTATTTGTTGCCATTTCTTAGACAGTCTTGTGATATATCTGCTAATCGTATCCACGCATGCTAAGTCTGGTGTGATTGTTTGTTGAGTTAGTCTTTGTTCTTGTTTTTTTTAGGGCCAAGATTTGTGACTAAACGTTGACATAAATTGCTGTCTACCAATTTTGGCTAGCAGACAGCTCTCATCACACTGGGTTCGAATCCTGGCGGTGGGTGCGTACTGATGATGAATCCCAAACTAGGCTGACGGAAAAGCTGTCCAACATTCCCAGGTTTCCCGATGGTTCTCTAACCTATTTCAGCTAATGATGGAATCCTCCAACCAATCAAACAAAATCCTTAAAAACCAATACTTGAGTCTACGCAAGGGGTAAACAACTTGCATTGGAACTCTCTAAAAATTTTGCATTGTGTATAAACGTATTTTTCAGAAAAAAGCTATTACTATTACTATTACCACTATTACAAGATAAATTGCAATAAAAACATATCGGTGAAGGTGGCGGTTCTTTTCGTCTTTACATCTGCAAACATACCATTAGCTGTCAAAAGGTGTGATATCCAACTACCCCCATATCAATCCATACAGACAATCACGGACACAAATGCGATTACGACAATGTGCAAATCCTGGACAAATAGGAACACCAAAATGACCAGGGAAATTTCTAGACGCCTAGTATTCAGGTGGAAATTGGCAATCAACAGACACATCGACATAGATAAGACTTATCAGTCAATAAGAAAAGGAAATTACACATAGAAAAAAGGTCAACAGAACAATCCGTGTTCAAATATTGGTTTATTGATTGGATACAGGATATCATCATGAGCAGACATCGGTTGGAGAACCATTGGAAAGCCAGCAGGGAGTACTGGACATCTGTTGAGTCCTACTTTGGGACTCTTAACCAGTAGGCATCTACCGCCTTCTGGTTACAATGCGAGCTCGTAGACTATGAAGCCACTGGGACCAACCAATCCAGTGGCCAGCACATGGATTCCAAATTTTGCTAATTCACGACATAGCGCGATCACTTGCGAATGTTATCCGTGGCGAGTATTCGTCCGACACTACCGACCTGATGCATCCTACTGGTCACGACATAATAATTCATATAGACTAGGTGGTAGGAAAAGTATCCAGAAACGATCAGTCGCATCCAAGGTTAACGGCAGACATGGCTGGTAAACTCGTGGGGAATTCACTTCAAGCTGAGGTGTGCGGGGAAAATGCTGTTGTCTAGGAAGACAGTGGAACTTCCGCAACTAAACCATCCAGTCCAGAGGACACAGATACACTAATATGTATCTAATATAAACCAACTGTTAAATCCTCTCTCAACTATCTTTTGTTAGTTTCCCTTTGTAGTTCAACTTTATACTACTTATCACTAGTTAAGTAGCATGAGACTAAGCGTTTCCACACTGTTGTTACTCCGCAACCATAGGTGTTATTTGTTAGTGAAGTTTGTCTCACTAAATATACTAATATTCTATTTGATATATAGTAACTATTTTATTATAGTTAAACATTATCTGCTGTACCACTGATATAAGAATAAAACTTGTGCACAGTGGTGGCGGTAGAGTATAATTCCATTGTGGGTAAAATTTATTTTGATAAAGTCACACACAGTGGTGTTGTGTTATACAGTAATATTTACTGATGATAACCACGTTTCGAGAACAATTTATTACTGCTCATAATCACATCAGGGGATTAATCACACAACTTTCTAACTGTGTTCATATAATTCCACTATTTGTCATCGCTTGACTTGATTGGTAGTAGTACTTTCCATATTTCCGGTATGAGTGATGGAGTCATTCCAATTGCACGTGTTAGGTGTAGATTACTCGATGAACCAGGATTCAGTAATCACCCGTCTCTCTCTCTCTCTCCACTTACCTATATCACTTATCGAAGTTTAACACTCTCCCACCACCCTATTGTGTGTTAAGGCATGCAGTGCGATTGCTTTTTTCTAAATTACTTATCTGTCTTCGTGGGATCAATGATTCTAGCCTTAGCTAAATTCTTATGGGATGTTCCAACAATCTGACTACGCCCCATCTACTAGTGTGACCTATGTAGTTGACCTCACTCACAGTCATTGCAAGGTACTTTATTAATTATGTTATTTTGTTTAATTGGGTCCACCAGGTCCTTAAGCCTAAAGAACTTGTCCTACCTGATTGAGGGAGGAGGAGAGTTTTTGTGCCACCCTAATTCCTGCTTTATTAGGAATCCTATGTAGGACCTTAAATTTCCCCTCCTCATATGGTAAAACTACTGTAGATGCCTTATATTCTCTCTTATTTATGTTGTCACCATTAGTTTCACCACTATTTTTGTTTTCCTTCTGACCTGTTTCTGATCTTCCCAATGAGTTTTATAGGACGGTTAGTTATTTAACACCAACCAGCTATTCTTCCCTCTGTTTTATTTCATCATTTAGGTCATTTTTTGTACTACTTAGTGCTACTGCTGTATATTCTTCATGCATATATATCCCTCTCTGTTGAACATTGTTTATTGAAATCTCTTTATTCCCAGTGTGGCATTCGCGCCCTTGACACCACAGCTTTGCTGTTATTTTTTCTCATTGACACACAGTGAGACTGTGTATTTGACGGCATTCAAACCCACAGACACTCTACAATTTAAGTACCTTACACTTTAGACAAATCCTGTATTTTTGGATTTTACGCGTCATTCAACGTGTGGTTCAATTAATAGACTGGAAGATCGCTTGGGAATTCTTAGAAAAAAACTTACGCAATCAACTCAAGTGTAAATAAAGTAAAATGTCCTCATAAATGTTAGACTCTAAGTTGCAACGTCTTACATTCGTCTCAGTCAACAGAGTAACTTTGCTAACCCTTACGTTCAGAAATACAATACACACCTGGTATATCGAACACAGGGATATTAGGGCTACCATCATTTCGTTGGATAGAACTGTGCTCTGGAACTGTCTATTAGAAAGGGGTTTACTGAGAAGTTAGTTAACATCCTGAAAGCCATCAGGAGTGAGTGAAGGCATACTACCATCTTACTGTCCCAACCAACATTGGGGTTAGACAGGGTTGCCCAATCTCTCCATTTCTCTTCAACTTTGGTGTCGACGACATTCTGGAGTCAGCTCTGAAGGACGTGAGTAGTGGTGGTGTAGATCTGCTTCCTGGAGAAAGACTTTTCGACCTAAAGTATTCAGACAATATCGTCTTACTGTGCGATGGCATGCAAGCTGCTCAAATCACACTTAATCAGTTGGCGATCAGTGTCTGTAAGTATAGTATGTGCTTTGCTCCGTCTAAGTACAAAGTATTGTTTCAAGGATGGCAGCAGTACTCACTCTTGCAGGTGAACCGCTTGAAGTTGTCGATAACTTTGTTTATCTGGGTAGGTGTGTGAGTGCAGGCAGAGATGTGACGGACGAGATTAATAACCACATCATGGCATACGCTAATTTGAGTCACCCCAACAGTCGATTTCTTCGTACAACTGCTTGCGTTCGGTAGCATCATCGTGTGAGTGACTCTGAGGTCCAGCGGCGTGTGTTTCGACACAGTGGAGATCACCACCAAGGACTAAGTGTCACAATCTAGAAACATCGGCTTCGGTGGAATGGGCTACGAATGTTCACTAACCAGCCCTGGGATGGGATGGAAAAAGCGGGGAGGTAGTCAATGCATGATCTGGCATCATGGAATGAACCATATCACGACTCTCTGGTTGGGGTTCGGTGGCTTAAAATGTTATCGGATATGATCAATAATCGCAATCATCAATGACAAACGTACTGCAATTTCCTTCTTTCTTCCGTTTTCTATGACAATAATTCAACGAATTTTGTTTGTAATATACGTGCTGCTTCCTTTCCAGATGAAGTCCTTATTTGCATTCTTTACCTTATGAATGTGTAGTGGATCTTCTTGGTGCTTATTATATTGTACACACGTCTGTGTACTTCAGGAACTTACCCGGGGGGGAGTAATAGTCCAGAAAAAAAGCAAACGCAAGTGTTATCATTTCTTCTTTTTATTACAGAATAGAAGAAAGGAATCAAAAATGGAGACAGTGAGAGAGACAGGACTAATTTACAAACAATGCAAAAAATGAGCATTCTTATAGTTTGTTTTATTTGTTATTGCACCGCCTGCTTGCTGGTTAAATACATAGTTTTCATATTTAAACAAACAGTTTTATGTGTGTATATGGTACAAAATGCGCTCCAATTTTTATTGATTGATTGATTAATTAATTGATTTATTGATTTACTTTATTAGGATTGAGAAAATGCAACAGGATAAACTTCTTTGTAATGTTGAACAAAGTGTACCTCAAGATCTTCTTTAATAAACGATGCTAAATCGTCGAAATCTTTACGATTAGCTTCTGGTAAGATGATTGTTTTGATTCCACCACGTTTAGCCTGTTGTTGTTGCGGATGTGGTTGTTGTACGAGGAGAAAGAAAAGAGAAACATGATAGAGAACAGACAATAAGATAATATATAATTCATGTGAACAGCAAAAATTAACATCTCAATGGAACTACCATCTTTGTCAACTTCTTATTTAGATAAAGCAATAAGAAGATGTAATTTGTCTGAATCGTGTGTAATGTTGTATCTGCGCAACACCTATTTCGAACAATCTGATCACACTCCACGGACTTGCCATAGGAATGTGTATATATGAAATGAATAAAGGGTTAAGAGGTGACAAAATATACTACTTAGATCAAGTTAAAAGGCCGCCATATTGAAGGTCAAAATAACAATGAAGACCAGTAAACCAAATAGCAGTATTTTAAATTCCCAGTATTTCAAAGCCTTGAAAGAGCTACGGGAAAATTTTAATATATAATTATTACGAAACCTGATAAAGGTTCTGGAGTCGTCATTATGAATAAAAGTGACTACAAATCTAAAATGATGTCTATTCTTGATGATAAAAGCAAATTTAGCCATGATCCCTCCTCAGAAGATATTCAGTTGTTGCAGGGCACAGTGACAGCTAGCTAATCTAGTGACGCTGCATGGCCTAAATGCTATAAGTAAAGATAAATTTAACTCTTTAAAACCATCAGAATGCAAATTCCCGCATATGTATGGTTTGCTAAAAATACATAAACCCAATAATCCTCTACGTGCTATATTGTCAATGTGCAAATCCCCAAAGCATAAACTTGCTAAATGGTTAGTAGAAAGAATTATTGCATCCAGTCAAAACACAATTCTGTCAGTATGCATTAAAAGATACATTTGAATTAGTTAATTTTCTTGATGATATTGATATTAATATTATGAATAAGAATATGTACTCTTTTGATGTAAACTCGTTATTCACTAATGTGCCTTTGCTCAAAACAGTTGACATTTTGTGTGATTATATTTCCACAAACAATTCTTTCATCCCGTTCCCTATATCTTATTTAAGGGATTTATTACTTCTATGTACTAACAATGTTAGGTTTACATTTGAAGGCTATTGTTTCCGCCAAGTTGATGGTGGTGCTATGGGAAGTCCGTTAGGGCCCCTTTTAGCAGATATTTATATGCTGTACATTGAGAATTTATCGAAGGATTTAATCGAAAATGTGCCACTTTATAGAAGGTATGCAGATGACGCACAGCGATTAGCCAATTATTCTTTAGAATTCCATGAGACGATAATTGATGACGTAACATAACCAATGAACAGGACTGTTACTCAAAATATTTTCAAATATATATTAAAAATATTGATGATTACAATTAAAATTTTTAAAACTTACAGCGATAATTTTCTCTTTTATACCTCCGACAGGCAGAACTTTGCCTGTTAAACTCAATTCACCAGTCATAGCCAAATCAGGACGGACAGGTTTATTACACGCTAGACTTAATAAAGCAGTTACCATAGTGATACCCGCAGATGGACCATCCTGTAAGCGAAAAGTGCATTAAAACAAAAAAATCAATAAAATGTAATCTGCACGTATAATTTTACGAGATCTGTTCACCGCTAAACTCGTTATATTCTCACTATTACTGTTATTAAAAACATATAATGGGTACGAATAGATGCGCCACACTAAATCCCATAGTTTGTGCGAGGACTGCCTGTGGACCCAGACCAAAGTAGATGGTCGTAGGGGTGTCTTAAGAGATTACTCCCCTGCCAAGCCTTTGACCTGAAGTCAGAGCCACAAGGTAGTGAAGTAGAGTCAGGAGCTGTGTTCCCATGGAACCTACGTATACCATAGGCTTACCTAAAGTGCACAAACAGGACGTCCCGATCAGCCAAATACTAGATATGATAGATTCCCTATATCACTCAATCGCGAAATGGCTGGTGGAGATTCTAGGGCCAGTGAAAGAAAAACTGTCAAGACACAACCTCCGTGACACATTCGACTTTGTTGATTCAATTAAGATTGTCAACGTGGCAGAGAAGAAAACGGTCTCCTTGGATATCGTCTCTCTCTTCACCAACGTTCCATTGACAGAAACCGTGTGTTTCCTTTGTGACTACATTCAATCCAATAGCATTGATGTCGGTATACCGATCCATTACCTAAAAGAACTATTAGTACAATGCACTAACAACGACATATACAGGCAAGTAGATGGAGTAGCAGCAATGGGTTCTCCTCTAGGACCCCTCCTGGCCGACTGCTTTATAGCTAGCCTAGAAAACAACTCCTTATCATCAACTATCGACGACCTCCATCTCTACAAAAGATACATCGATGATACTTTCATTATTTGTGATGAGAATTGTGATTTAAAAAACCTACTTCAAATCTTCAATAACGCCCACCCAACACATCGACTTCACTCTGAAAGTTGAGTATGACTCAATGATTCATTTCCTAGATGTTCAATTGCGAAGGAATGCGGACAACTCGCTAAGAAGATCCATTTACAAAAAGCCCACATGGAACGGACAGTTTATTAACTTTCAAAGTTGTGTGCCTCTAAGCAGAAAGAGAAACCTAATATACTCTCTTTCCTCGAGGATCCGGAAGATTTGCACTGAAGAGTCAATCGATGAAGAATTACAAAATCTCCGAGGGACCTTGATAGAAAATGGATTCCCACCCAGATTCATAGACAAGAATCTAAAAAAACACTTGAAAAGGTTCAAGTCGCTCCCAAAAAGATGCTGATATTGAACTTCGAATTTAAAAGTGATACCGAAGCAGAAATTCTCCGTAGACGGCTTTGGAAGTCTCTCAGTAAAATATACTTCGCCGCCAGCCTACGAATAATATTCTCCTGCAAGAAAGACAAGCTGTCGAATTTGGCTATTTCAACATACATATACTAGATCACTTGCTCGTGTGGAGCCGAGCACATTGGCCGTACCATGCGTCCGCTTGTAAAACGCTATCGGGAACACTATCCAACATGGTTAGCAAAGGGAGAACGCAAAGGAGTATACAGTTCGATAACGGTGAATTCAGGACATTAAGCCCCATATGAAAAGTCCTTCAAAGCCATATATAAGATCCGATCCAACCTACCAAAGGGAGTAAAATCAAGACACCTAGGAATAGCTGAGGCACTGGCTATCCAAAAACTCAAGCCCACTAATCTATGTGTTCAAAAGAAATACGTCCAACCATTGTCCTTACCCTAGCCATCATGAAAAGTCAGTCTCACCAATAATGATTATCCTATTACCTTTCTTGTCCAACCTTCCCGTTTATTTGTTATATTTACCTTTCAAATCCCTATCTGCATTGTTAAATTTGGTTACTGTTTTTATTTTTTATATGTCCGAACCTCCTATCCATTTCGTTAATACTACATCCTTAACCTGTAATTACATAAACTGACGAGTTTTCCAGTAATTGTAATCTTATTTTGTCTTTTCTACCCAATCTTCCTGATTATTACACATTGTATTTTTTAATTTGACCTTTGGCCTGAAATATTATTTCTAGAATAGTGCCACTACCTACCTATCTTCTGTTTATTACACTTAGTAATTTTATTAATCTGACCCCTGACCCGAAATAATTCTGGAACTTTCTCACACATGTAATATATAAATACACGAATGTACAGCTCTGTCTAGTTGATGACTTCGTCAAAAAGAAAAGCCTTTCTTCACTGCAACCGTCTTTTTAATAGTCAGAGATTTCCAGCTAACTGCCCTAGTTAGACCTACATGTCCACTACAGTTCGGTTGTAAGCGGCAGACGTTCGAATTCGCCCCTTCACTTTTGTGAGGAACGCCCTCATCACGTGAATGCAGTGAACAGAACTTACCTGACAGAGGCTATGAACGCATGACCACATGCGAGGCTTTCGAGGGGAATCCATCCACCATCTGCCTTACCAGAGCCTCCTATGGGGGTGCAACTAGTTACTCGAAAGCAATTAATGAATGCAGTGTGTCTGTTTGTCTGTCTGGATTCAACATAGAGCTTGGCACTCAAGTGCAGCAGTTCGAGTTGCCACGTTCCAAATAGCACACAAAGGTAGACAAGAAAATGAGTGAAGGGAATCAATAGAGTTTTGACAAGTATAAGAGTGAAACAGAATGAGTAATGGTAGAAAGGAATATGAAAGATTACAGAGACTGAATACATCTGCATAAGCCATTGACAACGATTTTGAGCCATGTCACCTATTATCTCCAACCATTGATTCTTCGAGTCCCGAGGGCCCCAACCCGGGAGCCTGCATCTCCCTACCTGACTCAGTTTAACTGTCAGGGATTTCATGGATTGATGCCATGTTTTTGTTGGGCCACCACTTACTCTTTTCCAACCTGCACCTATATCGGCTAGTAATGGCCGTCGAGGGAGGCGATGGTTAGGCATGCGCAGCACGTGACCTAGCCATCTCAATCTATGTAACTTTATGGCCTCGTCGATTGATTTTCCCTCTTTGCCCAACACTCTACGCCTAACTTCAACATTACTTACCTTATTATACCACCTAACGTGAGAAAGAGACCGTAGACATCTATGAATTAAAACAGTCAACCTTTTCATGTCTTCAACTCGTATTGGCCATGTTTCAGAGGCATAGAGAAGGACGGAGCGAACTCCTGAGCAGTACACACGTCCCTTGGTTGATAGTCAGATGAATGCATTATGAGGAGTAATAAAATAAAATAAAATAATATTACCCCGTGATTACAATTAATATCTACAAACCTTAGGTGTTGCACCATGAGGTACATGTAAGTGAATATCAGCCTGTTGTAGGAAAAGACCAGCTTTAGATGATTCTGAAGGTGTAAGCATACATTTTTCATCCTCATCACCAGTAGTAGATGGTAGACGACATGGAGCACCAGAACCAGCGAATTGTGCAGCAAATGTATGCGCTATAGACACTGATTCCTTCATAACATTACCCAGACTTCCAGTCAGCTGTAAAGAGCCTGTGTGAACAGAAATAAAATTTCCTTTTTGAATTATATACAAATGATATGATGATATAATCACATGTTTTAACACTGGTTATATATATATATATATATATATATATATAAACACTAACAAGAACACCTGCCAACAATTATACATCTCATCCAACAGTTGTACGACAATGCTGCATGTCAAGTAATCCACAATGGGAAACTCACGGAATCCTTCGAAGAAGTGAAGACGGGAGTAAGATAAGGCTGGCTGGCTGCCTACTATCTCCAATGATTTTCCTGATTGCTGGTGGTAGATTGGATAATGCGACAGACAGCGGCGGGCAACGAGGAGGCAGGCATAAAATGGACACAGACAGAAAACTTGGAGGATCTGAACTTCGCAGATGTGATATACGTCTGATTTACCACAAACTGGAGGATATGCAAGTGAAGAGCAACAAGTTGGCAGGAGAAGCATCCAGAGAAGACAGGACTTCAGGCGAACATTTAGAAAACAGAGACGATGAAGATTCCTGGCCAACAGCTACAGAAGCAACAATCAGCATAAATGGGAGGAATCTGAAAGAAGCAACCTCTTTTAACCACCTATCTATCTGGGAAGCATCGTTTCAGAGGATACATGGCGGATGGAACTGATGAGGATATCAAAGCGAGAATTGGGAAAGCAAGGCAAGCTTTCATTTCTCTCAAGTCTGTGCAGAGATCAACAGCACTAATCAGCATGAAAAATAACATCCGGATTTTCAACTCCAATGTGAAGTCAGTGCTACTATATGCATCGGAGAATCGGCGATTCGTGAAAGGCACTTCGAACAAACTAGAGACCTTCATCAATAGCTGTCTTCGCTCAATACTCAAGATCAGATGGCCGGCCAGAAAACATCAGCAACAGGGATCTCTGGCAAAGAACGAACCAATCAAGCACGAACCACTTGTGCAACAAGTATACAGGAAGAAATGGAGGTGGATTGGCCACACTGAGAAAACAAACCATCAAGTGAGTGACATCACACGCCAGGCCACCGCTTGAGTGGAATCCGAATGGGAAGCGGCAAGTCAGCTGGTCGTCACTGCGAGGGTGACATGGAGGAGATGAAATAATGTGGGCAGACGTGGAGCCAGGTGAAAACGTTGGCAGAGAACCGAACGCAATGAAGACGTGCGGCTGAAGCCCTATATTCCTCTAGGAACTAAAGGAAACAATAATAATAATAATGACAACAAGAACACAACCTGAACCTGTCTGTCTCCCCGAAGTTCTTGTTGGATAGTGTTTATAACAGTGTCAATGGATGAACAGTGGTGTTGTATGGTGAATTGGCAGCAACTGAAAGATATGAATTATTGAGTTCCTGACCCAGTTTTCCACCAATGGGAACCTGTCTACTTTAAAACCTAATGGTCCCGCATTCATTTCTGTATGCAATGACAGACTATTCGCTGTAATTCGTCTTCTGAGAGGAACAGAAGGTTTCAGTAGCCCATCTTTGATGCAGTATGCTTGTTTTTGGTGACCCTTTTTCTTCAACTGGGTCCATGACTACCGACAAGCTTTAGTTCTTTTCCTCTTATTATCTCCTCCTCGTTATTACGGGATGTCTAACACAAGGATTTGATATTTTATCTTTGCCTGTTGCTTGAACTATCCTCTTTGAGCAATATTAACCTAATAATAAGAAAACTGGATTGAATAACAATGTTTGTAGAGGAGTATTCAGCTGACGAGTCCTTCACTAAATACTACTTTGTGCACAGTTGTCGCTGCTTGTTTTAAATTAACTACGGGGAAAGTAATTTTTAAAAAAAATTTTAAGCAATCTAAACTGTTTGAAAAGGGATGATGGATTAAGACAAAAATTGACTCGGATCAGACACTGCTCATCCCTGCCGATAAAGTGACAATATCAACGCAAATGCAAACAGTATCTAGTCCTGTCCATATACTTTTCATATGCAAATTTCTCTTTAAGCTACCATTTGGTTTTTTGGTAAGGGAGACATCTAGGAGGGTAATTCTATCTTGGGATTCCTCTTAGCACCTGAATTTCATAGCAGAATGTACTTCATCGAATCAATTTATTTTCGTGTTCGTGTCCGAATCATCATCATCATCATAAAGAATAAAGGTGTCATCCATATACCGGCAATAAAATGAGAACTTTCTCATAAGGTTGGTCAAAAGTCCATTTTCTAGTTTTCTTAGAAAGAAATCTGCCGAAATCGGACCCGATGGGGAGCCCTTCGCCACCCTGTCCACTTGCCTGTAAAGTGTGCCGTCAAATTTGAAATTTACATTCATGGTACACCTTAATAACAATTCTTTTAGGATTTCAGTACGACTGGCTATACACTTGTTTACATATGCAGTTAACTGTTTCTACTAGAGGTACATTTGTGAATAAAGATGTTATGTTCAAAGATATCACAATTTTATCCTTGATATTAATATCTTTTATTTGGTCTACGAATTGAAATTCACCTTTGACGCTATATTTCACCATTTTCTCATGCAAAGATTTGAGAATATATTTACTAAACATCTAGCTAGAGCATGGTAGGGTGAATTTTGTATATCAAGTATTGATCTTAACGGTACCCCTGGTTTATGTACTTTAGGTAGGCCAAACAATCTTGGCGTGTACGTGCCCGTTAGCCTGATAAAAGTATTTGTAGTATTAAATAGCGAAACGTCATTCATTAGGAAAATAGAAAATTCTTCATATAATTGTGACATAGAGGGAGGGATATTTAAAAAATTGAACATTGAATAATTCAAAGAAATCCAATAAATGATAATTATATTTCAATAGTTTACACACACAATGATAAGCTTTTTTTTGTTTGGTAATATTTCGAGGAGGAACCTGAAAGAAACAACCTCCTTTACCTACTTGGGAAGCATCGTTTCAACTACAGGTCTGCGGAACTGACGAAGATATCAAAGCAAGAATCACAAAAGCAAGACAAGCTTTCATTACTCTCAAGTCTGTGTGGAGGTCAACAGCACTCAGCATCAAAACGAAGATAAGATCCGGATTTTCAACTCCAATGTGAAGTCAGTGCTACTTTATGGATCAGAGACTTGGCGCGTCATAAAGAGCACCTCAAACAAACGACAGACCTTCATTAACAGATGTCTTCGCTCAATACTCAAGATCAGATGGCCGGCCAGAAAAGATCAGCAACAGAGATCTCTGGCAATGAGCGAACCAACACAGCAGGAACCAATTGTGAAACAAATAGGCAGGAAGAAATGAAGGTGGGTATATTGGCCATACTCTGATTAAACCATCAAGTGACATCACTAGGCAAGCCCTCGAGTGGAACCCGGCCGAAAGGGAAGCGGCGAGTTGGTCATCCAAGGGTGACTTGGAGGAGGTCATGTGAAGAGGAGATGAAAACGTGTGGACAGACTTGGAGCCAGGTAAAGACTCTAGCAGAGAACCGAACGGAATGGAGACGCACGGCTGAAGCCCTATGTTCCTCTAGGAATTAAAGGAAACAATAATAATAATATTTCGAGGAAAAAATTACTGTCCATGATCACACAGCAACTGTTGGAATTGTTTCGTTTGTTTTTAATTCACACATATATGATTTGTACTCATATATTTTATTGTTCCCTTGGGTTCCGAGTGGAGCATAGAGCTTCAACAACACATCTCCACTTGTTTCTGCCATCTGTTGTCCTCTTCAGATGGCTAGCTCCACAATTGCCCACAATCTCTCATCTCATCCTTCAACTCGCACGAACTCTTTCATGTCACCCTCGGTGTGACGATACACTCGTCGCTCCCCATCTGAACTCCATTCGGGCGGTGGCCTGCGCTACACACGATGTCATTAGACGGTCTCCTCAACGTATGCCCAAACTACCTCCATTTTCTCCTGCATATTTGTTGAGCAATCGACTCTTGCTCTTGTTGCTAATTCTTCCAGGTCAGTTGGTCATTTGTTCTTCAGCTGTTGATAAAAGTCTACAGAAGCCTGTTGGAAATAATTTTCGTGACGCGCACGCCAAGTTTCTTTCTCTTTTGTTTATTCGCTTTTGTGTATCCAGAATTATATAATACTCCAGCTTGTTGACAATTGTGCTGCCTAGTCACCCTTGTTACATGTATCCTGGGTGACCTTCATGTGAATATCGATTCTGTTATTAGTAGTCTCTCTTTCCATTTGTTCATATTAGATCTCAGAATACAAACACATTGTTCCAATCAATATTGTGGTTTTTGTCCCACGATGCATGTGCAGCTGTAGACAACGTTTTTTTCTAAATTGTTGTAAGCTTGTGTTCCCTACTGTTGGATGACCTTTAGTCGGGTTAGGCGTTTAAGCTCACCCACTCCTTTTTTGAGTGATCTGGACGTTTGACCCACATATTTGGTGGGACGGCAACTTTGATCAAAATATCACACCCCCAACAAAAAGAAAAACTATTGTGTGTGATCTAATCCACAATACTCAAACTTTTTACTGACAAATTGAGTCAAAAAAAATCCACCCACCTTTTTTAGTTGAAGCATCATCATCTGAATCGGAGTCATCATCACGAGTGGAGCTGGCTGAAGTCTCATTCACGTGTCTGGGTCTTCGATTAGTACATTCAATATACAGCACAGAACCACCCATTGATGTCCATGCTAAACCCATAACAACACCAGGTGGTGTAATAGCATCATACAAACGATCAGATGTCCATATAGGCTGTCCAACATATGTTGTCAAATTGTCAGCAGTAACAGTGATTGGTGGATCTTTTTCTGCATTCACCAACTGATAGGCAACTTTTCGAACAACCTGAAAATGCGTGACGAAGATTAAAGATGTATGACAGTATAGGGTGAGAAAGGAAATATTTTCCCATTATAATATATAATTATTATTCCCTTAGGTTCCAAGTAGGACTCGAACTCGGAGATTTGGTGGAACATCTCCATTTGATCCTGTTCTCTGCAGTTCCTTTCAAAAGGCTCCACGATTGTTCAACACCAACTAACAGGTCACAAGTGAGGTGTAAGCAAGTTACTAGCTGGGATCCATTATTGATATAAGTATAAAACTTAGGCACTGTGGTAGAGCATAACTCCATTATGGATAAGATTTTATTTTGATAAATCAGACAGTGTTGTACAGTAATATTAACTGATAACGTTTCGAGCATAAACTATAGCTTATAATCATATCAAGTGCGTCGGTGGCACAGTGGTTAGGACTCTCGCCGACCATGCACATGGTCCGGGGTTCGACCACCTGCCGGCGCACACCCGATATCTATGGTCGGCCTGCAAAATTTGGGCTACCGATATCCATGCTGAAAATTCCATACCTGTACCTAAAAATACGGTGTGGCATCAAGCTGTAATCAAAATTAAAATTAATTAAAAATTAATATTAAATGATGACGTTTCGAGCATAAACTATTGCTCATAATCATATCAACTTGATATGCTATTCGGGCTCACGATTGTCCCCCTGTAGGACTGTATAGGATACGTTTTGACTGGACACTATTCAGTAGCTAGTGTGATGCGTCTAGTCCTCTGTTTGGTGCAGACTGAATTCTATCAGTCGTGTTTGTAATGTAGCCACCATTCTTGGTGGCTCGCCATCACGGTGCGAGCGCGAATAGTTAGCTCAGCGATGATGTTTCTGACTTACTGCAGCACTGGTTGACACCGATTCGAACTAACTACTCTTCACACTAATATACCAATCAATATGGCAGCCTTAGAAGCGCTTATAAGAGAACTAACCGCTTATCCCGAACTTCGTCATGGGACGAGTGTTGTTAGTCAATAAGATGGCAAATCAGATGTTCTTTTTTCTACAAAATACCTTGCAATGACTGTGACTCAGGTCAACTACATAGGTCAATCAAACTAGTAGATCAGGAGTAGTGAGATTATCAGAAAATAAGAATTTAGCGAAGGTTAGAGTGATTGATCCCACGAAGATAAGTAATTTAGAAGAATATTCATCAATCACAGTGCCTGCATTTACACACAACCACACATTAGGGTGGGTGGGACAGACTCAAAATTCTAAGAAGTAATATAGGTAGGTGGAGAGAGACAGGGAGATTGATTACTGAATCCTGGTTCATCGAATAATCTACACCCAACACGTGCTACAGAAATGACTCAATGCAAATACCAGAGATATGTATGGAAGATATCATTACCACCAGTCATAATCAGAGGAGGATAATAAATAATCTTAAAATGTATTCAGTTCAATTCACATCATGACATTCTAACAAGTTATTTATTTATTTTACTATAAAAGCATCTTATTTCCCATCTGATTGTATTTGATTGATAACACTAATATTATTATTTTCTGAATGTACTTTATCTTATATTTGATTTTATTCAAATGTCTAATCACCAACATTTACTCATGTATATAGAAGAAGCAAAAAAGTTATGTGAGTAATGCCTTGATAGGATGACGATTAGCAGTGATAATTTGCGCTCGAAACGTGGTTATCATCAGTAAATATTACTTACTGTATAACACCACTGTGTATGTGACTTTATCAAAATTAAATTTTATCCATATTGGAGAAATTTTACTACAGTCTCATACATGGAAACCGAAATTAGGTGGTTTGAACTGTTTCAACTCTCTGAGCTAAGTGAAACAGGATACACTGCTCATATAAGCTCTAACCAAAATGAACGAAATGAAAAAAACTGGCGTCCAGTGTGTTCAGATCACTTCGATGTTGCTGGCTGGCTAGCAAGCATTACTATTGGTTGATGAGTGAGGTGGTGTCGCCCAACTACTCATATCTACCATCAGTCAGTAGTATATTTTATTTCTTTTATTTTTTGATTACAGCTTGATTCCACACCGTATTTTTGGTACAAGTATGGAATTTTCAGCATCGATATCGGTAGCCCAAATTTTGCAGGCCGACCATTGATATCGGGTGTGCGTCGGCAGGGGATCGAACTTCAGACCATGTGCATGGTCGGCGAGAGTTCTAACCACTGTGCCGCCGACGCACAGTGGTCCGGGGTTCGATCTCCGGCCACTGACGCACTCCTTTACCTCGCTGAGAGAGTAATAAAACTGGAGAACAGGGAAGGTTGGACATGAGGCTGGCCAGCAATCCCATCCCGTAAAAATAAACACCACTGCTACTGAAACTTCAAGCCCCCTATGTTCCTCCACTGGGGGATGTAAGGGAATAATTAAGAAAATATCCAGCGCAGAGAGAGGAATTTGACGCTACGCAGTGAATTGTGGTAGGAGTTAAATGCAAACTCAGTATCAAAAACTAAAAAACTAACTTAAAGTTAGGAAACCAAACAACAACAACAACAACAAAACAAACAAACAAATAAAGTATCACCTTTTCAATATGTTTTTGTAAATTTCTAACTCCACTCTCTCGACAGTACTGTTTAATAAGACGTTTAATAGCACTGTCTTCTACAACAAGACGATTGTCATCCAGACCAGAATTTTGAGCAGCAAGTGGAAGAAGGTAACGCTACATCGATAAAGTAGAAGAATAAAGAAAGAGTATAATATAGCAGTTTGTATAATATAGTATGTCATAAATGCGTCATTTAATAATAATAATAATAATAATAACACGCTGTTGAATATTACATCATCACTGTTTAGAATAATTCACCAGGAACCGATTTCTCATGTACTGGAATGAGAGTTGATCAAACCATTACCCAATTGCTTAGGCAGGGGGTCGAACCCAGGAACCCATGAAGAAAGTCGAATGCTTAAGCGGATGAAGCGCAACTTCGCATTGAACTTCACGGAGTATTTAGTAACTTGGCAGGACACTTTACTCATAAATGTCCTATGCATTTAATGTCACACACACACACGCGATGCACCGTGAGACTACCACTCGTTAACATTCAAACCTGGATCAGTCATTGAATCGCTAGTCAAGAGTCTTGGAAGGGAAGTGAAAGATTGATGCGTATATACGTACATTGACGTGCGCAAATAAGATGCAGTACAAATTCCACTAGCTACAACACGTACAGCATTACGTCAAATTCAGAAATCAAAAACTTTCTGAATTGCTTAAAACGAAAAGATATCATAAATAATTTGATTGGTAGTAAATCATATCTTGGCGTCTACTCCTTCGTTTGTTCAGATTGAATTCTACCAGTTAAGTTTGCAGTGCGGCCACTAGGTTAGGTGGCTTACCATCACACTGCACTCTGAATAGTTGATGTCATTATATGGTTGGAGGCAATTGGCAGGAAGCCTTTTTTGGCACTCACCAGTCAGTAAGCAAGGAGTTCCCTCTGACGTAGACGTGATATCCCGCTGTCGACCAAAGGACGTGTGTATTGCTCAGCGGTCAGCTTCGTCCTCCTTTACGGCTGGCAGTGAGACCTGGCCATTGAAAGTGGAAGACATGAAAAGGCTAGCTATCTTTGACAATAGGTGCCTGCGTTCTATCTCCCGTGTTAGGTGATGCAATAATAAGGTGAGCAATATTGAGGTTAGGAATCGGTTGAATGCTAGGTAGGGAGGGGAAATCAATAGATGAGTCTGTAAAGCCACATCGATTAAGATGGTTAGGACATGTGCTACATATGCCCAGCCTAGCCATCGCGTTCCTCGACAACTGTCAATGTTCGATGACAAAGAGACAGGTTGGAAAAGAGCCAGTGGGGGGTAAAACCAAAACATGCCTTTATCAGTCACAGTTAGTTTAAGCCGGTCACGTAGGGGGGTCCTCGAAATGGTGAGAACTAATGAAGGCTGGAGACAATTGATGATATGGCTCAAAATCATTCTCAATGGCCAGTGCAGATGCATCCACCCCTTGTGACTTGTAATATCCAATAAAATTCTATTCTTCTTCCATATTAGTATTCTGTTTGCCTCTGTTCAGGGTCTCTGATTCGCATTTCACTTCACTTTCTACTCTTGTTTTGTGTGCAAAGTGGAGTGTGGCGACTTGAACTGCTGCACATCGGTGCAAAGTAGTTCTATGTTGAAACCAGTCAGTAAGTCATTTGTCGAAATGCTGAATGAACTCATGTCCCCTATGAGGTTCAAACCAGGGTCATCCATCCAGTGGTGCAATCAGAGACGTTACCGTTGAACTATCCAAATTCACAATTGACCTCCTGTAGGACTTTAATGAATAATTTGAATGAACACCAATACAAATGTATAAATAAAGAAAAATACGGGAGAAATTTTGAAAAACACACTCTGAATACTCCTCACCTTGGCGATAGCCATTTTTTCCTCTTCAACATAACCTGACACTTCAATAACTTCCATTCTATCTCTTAATGGTTCAGGTATTGTATCCAGCTGATTCGCTGTAGTAATAAACAGGACACGGCTTAGATCAACTGTCACGTCGAGATAATGATCTAAGAAATTGCTATTCTGTTCTGGATCGAGTAATTCCAGCAAGGCGCTAGCTGGATCACCTTGCCATCCACGACCTAATTTATCAATCTAAAAAGGTGTGAAAACAAACAGAAGAAATAGAAAAAATGAAGACTTTGCTGAGACATAGAGGAAAATACAAAATATTTTACCTATATATCAAAATCAAATACACTGACAAGAACTTCTTTTTTGCATCAACAATTACGATTGATATTCGCCTGCCGCGCCTAATGTTTTCCAGTAACTGGAAAGATAAACTAAACGCATTTGACCACTTCCATGCGCATCTGTCAATACACTTGCTTTTGCGGAACGAGATATATCTAGATTATTCAATGCGTGCGTTGTCTGGGAATCTGATGTACTCAGCATGAAGAACAAGATCCATATGTAGTTTGATTGGACACTAGTAACTAGTGTGGCGTGTCTAGTCCTTTCTTTGGTGGAGACTGAATTCTATCAGTCAGTCAGGCTTGCATTGTGGCCACTGTTCTAGGTAGCTCACCATCACGGTGTGAGCACCGATAGTTACCTTAGTGGCGTATCTGCAACCTTGAAGGAACTCATGTCCCTTCAGGTTGCAGATACCGCTTGCTGACGAATGCCAACTAGCACGAAACCTAGATGCAAGGCTTCCTGTATCCGATTGCCTCCAACTATCTAATAAGGTTCAGATATTCATCTTACTATGTCACCTAAAAGGTAAGATAAGGCGCAAACACGTATGATCAAAGACAACTAGTTAGCCAGGCTTTTCATGTCCTCCATTTTCAATGGCCATATCTCACAGTCAGTCATAAAGGAGGACAGAGCGAACTGCTGAGTAGTACACACACATCCTCGGATCGATAGTCAGCCGGATATCACGTCCACTACGCCTCCAGAAATGGCATAATATGTTGACAAGTACCAAATGAGTCCTTGTGCATTCATGCAGAGATTTCGTCAGCTATCAATCAACTCGTTGGCGTTGGCTGATGCAACTTCTCAAATAAGTGAAGTGGTCAGCACGCTGTCACCGAATTTGACGAGAGCGAATCGCATGCTAAACATTCGAAAATTGCTGGTCAGCTCAAGGTGTTAAAAAGACTCTGCTCTATTTTGTCAGTCTTCACTCAGGCTGGAAGACTATATCATCTGCATATTCTAAGTCAACGAGACTATTATTCCCTGGTGGTAAAAATTCCATACGTGGGTCGCTGAAGTCAGTTAGGGTTAAGTCCATTAGTAGTACATCTATGATGAAATTAAACAGAAATGGGGATAGTGAGTGGTCATCCCTGAAGGGGGACACCACTGGTTATCACCACTTGAAATGACAACTCTCCGTAAGGCTCTCATCTGGCTGACTGCATGAGTTCCAGTAGAGTGCCTTGATCAGTGCAATGTATTTTCGCGGCCTTCCTTCCCTTTACAGCCAAGCACCGCCATAGTACCTCCCGATCGACGGAATCGAATACCGCCTTTAGGTCAAGAAATATGACAATCGTTGGACGCCGACGGTAAGTGTATCTATGTTCCAGAATCTATCAAAGGGTGAAGATATGATCAATACACCCTGTTCCTGGTCTAGAGCCTACCTGGTTCTCTCTCATGTTTGTTTTTCCCAAGCGCCAGTTAATCTATGCATGATTATTGAGTCTAGACTACCACCATAAATTATTTTTAAACATAAACTCATTGAATAAATACGAATAAAGAAGGCTTACTTCATCGATCAGAATAAGAGGATTCTCTGTCTTAGTTTTTTTAAGACATTGAATTATCTTTCCAGGCATTGCACCAACATAAGTACGTCGATGACCTTTAATTTCTGAGACATCAGACATTCCACCGACAGAAAAACGGAAATACTAGAGAAGAAAAAGAGAAAAGAAACTGAGTATTAGGAGTATAAAGAGAAGCAACAACATCAGTAAGAGAAGCCGACAATCGATTAAAATATTATGCTGATAAATTTATTCGGATATTATTACCACTATTATTATTTTCTCTTTAGGATCCCAGTGGATCCTAGGGCTCCATTTCATCCTGTCCCCCATCTACAGTCCTCTTTATAATTGGCTCCACGATCACCTGCATGTCACCCTCCGACACAAACCTAACTCGTTGTTTTTCACTCGAGGTCCTGTCGTGCGATGTCACTCGGCGATTTCCTCATTCATGTCTCTGATCTACTCCCATTTCTTCATATAAGTGTAAAACTTAGGCGCTGTGGCGGTAGAGTGTAACTCCGATATGGATAAAATTTTTATTTTGATAAAATCACACAGAGTTATACAATAATATTTACTGATGATAACCACGTTTTGAGCACAATTTATTGCTGCTCATCGTCATCATATCAAGGCAGTACTCACACAACTTTCTTGCTTCGTCGTTTATATACATGAGTAAAAATTGATGATTAGACATTTGAATAAAAATCAATATAAGATGAGAAAGTACATTTGGAAATCATAATATTAGTGTTATCACTTAAATGCAATCAGATGGGAAATAAGATGTTTTTTACAATAAAATAAATAAATAACTTGTTAGAATGTTGTAATGTGAATTAAACCGAATACATTTTAACATTATTTATTATCAGCCTCTGATTTGACTGGGGGTAATAATATCTTCCATACATATCTCTGGTATTTGCGTTGAGTAACTTCTATCGCATGTGTTGAGTGTAAATTATTCAATGAACCAGGTTTCAGTAATCAACCTCTCTCGCGCTCCACCTACCTGTATTACTTCTTAGAATTTTGACTCTGCCACCCACTCTAATATGTGGTTGTGTGTTAATACATGCAGTGCTAATGCTGAGGTATTTTTTCTAAATTACTTATCTTCGCGGGATCAATCATTCTGACCTTAGCTAAATTCTTATGTTCTGAGAATCTCACTACTCCTGATCTACTAGTTTGATTGACCTATGTAGTTGACCTCACTCACAGTCATTGCAAGGTATTTTGTAAATTATATTATTTTGTTTAATTGGGTCAACCTACTGGGTCCTTTAGCCTACAGAGCTTTTCCTACCTGAGTGAGTTTGTAGGAGGGTTTGAATACCACCCTAATTCCTGCTTTATTGAGAATCCTACCACGTGGGGTGTCTCAGATGTCCCCTCCTTATATGGTAAAACTAATGTAGATGCCTTATATTCTCTCTTATTTATGTTATCAAAATAAATTATATGTGATATGATTATGAGCAGCAATAATTTGGGCTCGAAACGTGGTTATCAGTAAATATTACTGTACAACGCTGTATGATTTATGAACAAGGTGTGTTCAATCATTGTACTCCTTATACAGCCATTGCTACTTTTCGGCAACCATGCAGGTCAGTGTTCTTGAACTCCTTTAAACAGGATACGCATCGAAAGACCAATATTGTTGACCGGCAAAATCTCGCATATATCCACTTTTATGTGCATATATCAATTCACCTGTCCATAGGAAGCCAAGCAGATTAGTCTTTGAATGCGTATCCTGTCTAAAAGAGTTTGAGAACACTATCCTGCATGGTTGTTTAAAGGTAATAATGGCTCTATAAGCAGTGCAATAATTACACACCTTATCGACACTGGCGCCATTGCACCTCAACATATTTTCAAGCGATAAAATTTGTAGGGATTTTATTTTTTTTCAAGTTTGATCACGGTTTGATGCCAGTTGGTGAACCATGGTGAAAACTACCATGTCTGTTTCGTATTAGTTTGGAACTCTTCGGCGGTACTTGCCCAACTCCAGGATTTGAACCCAGGGAATTCCGGTAGATCATTTTGTCACTGGGATCCGACTCAATGGCTAATAAACTTAAACTTTTACCAATCCGTGAAATTAGCGCGACTAGCACCAGCCAATATCATCGGCAGGTACATGTCTTCACAGCCAACCTGATGCACCATGCTAGTTAACGACTTCTCCCTAGAACCGCAGACAACTTCGTTCTGTAGGCAACAAATGACTAAATTCCCTTTGAGTTAGAATAATTTTGGATATTAAGGTCCCAGATTCGACTCCTAACAGCGTCCTAGGTGAGCACTGATAAGGAGTCCGTATAACTAGGACGAAACAGACATCCGGAACCGTTTTTAACTGATATCAGTTTGTGATCTGAGTTGATATCAAACGAATCACCGCTATCAAATACTTAAGAAAACAAAAAATTATTCTGGATTGTGTAACTTACCTTTCTATTCAATGCACGAGCAATAGAATTGGCTATACTTGTTTTCCCGACACCAGGTGGACCGTAGAAGCATAATATTTTGCCTTGTGTTGAGCCTTTCAGTTGACTGACAGCAATAAACTCCTGAAGGAAGACGAAAAAGAGAATTAGATATATAGCTTACCTATTCAACATATACAAAAGAGGGTATACTAAAATAGGAAGTATTATAATCTCCAATATAAACTCTAACAACTATTGGCTATAGGGAAACTCTATAAAAATCATTTTAAAAACATGTTATAACAATGACTTTTGATGTGGTTGTGTTCTATGAGCTAGCTGGATAGTTTATTTATTTATTTCATCGCCCCCTACTAGGCAACATCTTCAGCGCATACACTTCAATTTGTTGAAGTGAGCTTTTAGATTTCTCCACGAGTTTATTAATCATCTCTCCTGGTGGGTGAACTTGAACGTGATTGGTTGTTTTTGTGTGTTTTCACACCCTCTAGGTGGCTACTTGTATTGGTATTGGTGTTGATTGTTTCCTTGACTTGAACTTTGACCCTTTGTGTGTGAGATTGCCTTCTTATCGATTGGTAAAGGACATCTCAGAAATCACTACAAGACTATTCAAACCTTTAGGAATTGACGTCGCACACAAACCAACAAAATCACTTTACTCAGCTGGCTCTGTGTCTACCAGAAGACTCAACAACGAAAGAAAATAAAACCAACATCATCTACAAAATAAATTGTAACAACTGCGAAAAACACTACATTGGCCAAAGTAGACGTCCCCTTCGTCTTCGTATCCATGATCACAAGCTAGCCGTCATAAGACATGACATCCACTCCCTCATATCGCTCACTGCATACAGACAACCACCGACATGAATTTGACTGGGACAACGTTCATATATTAGACAGAGGAAACATCAAGAATTCTAGAGAATTTTTACAAGCCTGCTCCAAGCTTGAGCTTTGACGTTTCACAACAGCAGTGCTGTTCTCCTTTTATAGGGTGAAGTGACTAGTTCCACGGCTAACTACCAGCTAAGTGAGGTTTACGAGTGAGATGGCCGGGAATGAGACCCCAAACCACGTGGGCAGTTGGGACGCTTTCGAGGCAAAGTTAAACTTTAAGCACCACCAATTACTAATCAGTGAGTGACCTCGATCGCACCAATCACGTGAAAGGGGCATTTTTGTGTATGGAATACATATATTTAGAAAAAAATGCATAAAAACTGTATAAAAGTGTTACAGAGGATACCTTCCTCTCAAATGTGATAAAAATAGCTCTCAGTTTTAAGTTGGAGTATCAACAGAGTGAGTATAATTTCAGTGTGGGTCAAATTTATTTTGATAAAGTCTCATAGTGTAATACAGTAATATTTACTGAGCAATAAATTGTGCTCGCAACGTTGTCATCAGTAAATATTACTGTATGACACTCTGAGACTTTATCAAAATAAACTTTACCCACAATAGAATCATACTCGACCACAGTGCACAAGTTCTATTCTTATATCTCAACACAGCAATTTAACCACATTCTATGCATGTAATTACTTAGCTCTTCTAACCCTTACAATAACCCTAATCTTCTCTGAACCTAACTCTAACGTCAAAATATCCTTAAACTAACTGTAATCTAACTCGAACCAACCCTAATGTCATCTTAATTAGGTTAACCTAACCCTAACTTATCCTTGGCTTTAAGCATAACCTAATCTTTCGCAAACCTAAGCTGAAACTTGCCAGATATCCCATTTAATGGCATAACACTTCGATGAGCATATTTTACTAATGATGACAGCATTATTTGCCAGTGGGAGTTTCAAGGTCATCGGTGTGGTCGCACTCCATTGGCAGTTAGTGGTACTTAAAGTTTAACTTGGCCGTATTCGACTGCTGAACCATCGACGCTTATCTATCTGGCTAACCGAAATTCAGATGGCTTGAACTGATTCGCAGCTTTGACAGGAGTGGAACTGGGTGCACCACTGATTAGCTTGGTACCAACCAACCAAACAAGTGAAACAGGCGTCCAGGATGTTTACATTACTACGATCTGGCTAGCAAGCACTAGTGATTAAGGAGTGAGCAGTCCTCAACTACTCATTTAAATTTATCAGTAGTATATAAGTCATCAGAACAAATAATAATATACTTGAAAGAAAAAAAGAAGCAAACAGAAAACCACCTTACTAGAATACGCTTTTTCACATCATCCAATCCATAGTGATCTTCGTCTAATATTTTCCTAGCAGCACCAATGTCCAAGTGTTCTTCACTTGTTATTCCCCATGGTAAGGCAGTTAACCAATCCAAATAATTTCGTGTAACGCTGAAAAATGAATGTTATGCATACCGAATAAATGTAAGGAAATAATAGTATGAATGAATTCAACACCCTCATAGAATACAGTGTGCAACATAGATAATCAGAGTGGAAATTCTCATGACCGGCATGACAGTCCGCCTTATTTCGTGTGACTACACGCCTGCTTGGTTGTATTCACATATCTGTAGTATACCTAGAAATTAATGGCATTAATGTTGCAACAGTTGGCTACAATCATTAGAGTTTAAAACATCACTACTAATTTGAAAGAAATAAAATGCTTACTTGACTAACACTGCTATCACCTGTATCACCTATGCGGAGGTGCGTGAATTGTGATGGTTGATTCGGGGAATTATTCTCATATGACATGCCTACATAGGAATGTGTAATATTATGCCGATAGGCACTTCTGTTCCTAGACCTCTTTTTACCTGAAGTATTACAAGCGTTAGGTGCTTCACAAGAAAATGACTGAGAAGTAGATGCGGAAGCAGTGGATGATGATTTGGAGCGATTAGAACCGTGGGATTTTCGAGAACGTACAGCGTTAGCATTAGGATGATTTGAAGAGCGGGTTTTGGGAGACCAATTGCTTGGCACCTGGTTTCGACACATTTCAAGTCTCCTTCTGGATGAATTTTCATCTGAGTTTGATGAATTTAAACAATGACCTGATACAGAACTAGTTATTTCATGCTGACGACGACTTTTATTGGTCATGCCGCCTCTGGAGCAAGATTCACGAGACAAATCATATTGTGAGTATGCGCCACCAGATTTATCTTCATCTTGAGAAGATAATGGTGAACTAGAAGGTATCCTTGGACCACGTGGAAGTCGTGAAAAGGGCTTGTTACAATTTATTTCTGAATGATCAGATATATCATTATCAGGAGACATATATTTGCTACTTCTTTGGGGGAAAGCTTGATCATTTGAGACCACTTCTTGTTCTTTTTTAATCTTCTCTTTCACTTTCTGGCTTGTTGAAGGTTTAGCTGAATGTTTATTCTTCGGTCGATCAACCAGACACTTTTCTGGAGGGATTGGTCTACTAACATATTCACGTGTTACTTTCACACTTCCTCAATTTAGCACACAAAGCAAGAGAAGAAAGTGAAAATAAATGCAAAATAGAGACAGTAAACAGAGGAGATATGAGGCAAAAAGAATAGTAATAATGAAGAACAATATAGTTTCATTGGAAATTGTACGTGACAAGGAGTGAAGGCATCTGCGCCGTCACTGAGAACGATATCACCAATTGTCTGCAGCCATTGGTGTTTACCATCCCGAGGACCCCAACCAATTAGGAAGTCTACACCTCAGTGACGGAGCAGATGCCTTCACTCCATGTTACTTATAATATCCCATATAACTATATTGTTCTTCGTTATTACTATTCTTTTTGCCTCATATCTCCTCTGTTTACTGTCTCTATTTTGCATTTATTTTCACTTTCTTATCTTGGTTTATGTGCTAAATTGAGGGAGTATGGCGACTTGAACTGCTGTGCATCGGTGCAAAGTTCTATGTTGAAACCAGTCAGTCAGTGTGGAAAAAATATGCATGTAAGATAACAGCAATAGGAGCAGCAGCTGCCACCGCTGTCGCATCTAACAACAATCCATAGCTGTTCCAACTCATCCCAGCCATTAGTTTAAAAAATAGCGCCTAGTCGATGGATAAGTGCAGTAGTTCACCAGCATATTGTGAAACTTCTCATTGGTCCACGCTTACTCACTTAATAACACACAGTGCTAGTTCATTACACTTCAAGACGAAATACACTGTTTACGTATAATAACATTCTATTTTTGAAAAGAAAGAAAGAAAACCTACTTGAACTCTGAAGAATGATGATCCAATACACTTAGCTTGTTCAATTCTTCTTCAACTACTTCCATAACACTAGCTGGAACAGTTAAATCCTATGCGTGAACAGAAACAGAAAACATAAATGGTTGATTAATTGAAAAGGAGTAATTATGTGACAGCAGTAGAACGCTAGCACAACCCCGGCCTTACGTCCTACGAGGTTCGATCCCCAGCCGATGCGCTCCTAAACCACTTTCACTAAGCCGGTGAAGAGAGAAGGCTGGGCCAGGTGAGGCTAGCAACCCAACTCCCGTAAAAATAAAACCACTATCACTGATACTTCAGAGCAGAGGCCTGAAGCTCCTCTATGTTCTATTCGGGATGTAAAGGAATAACATTTTTTAAGAATCGTTGGTTTACAGGTTTTACAACAAGTTGACATCAGTTATAGAACCATTGAAAAGCTTGCCTGGACACAAACCGTTCTCATCGAATGTTGGTTTTCAACGATTTGATTGGTTACAGGTGTGTTTGGTCACGAGTTGCCGTCAGTTAGACAACCAGTGGAAAGCCACGGAGTACTGGATAACTGATCGTCCTTCTTCGAGACTCTTGAACACTGTGCTCCCACTGGGGTTCGAACCCAGGAAGTTCTGGTTACAAGCTGACTTCGCAGTCCATTCAGCCATTGGGATCATCCAATCCAGTGAGTGGCCCATGAATTCTAAGTCCTGTTTGTTCGTGATATATATCTAGTGCAGCTGCCAGTCAATTACATAGGCGAGTAAATATCGTCGTCGGTGGCGCAGTGGTTAGAACTCTCACCAACCATGCACATGGTCCGAGGTTCGATCCCCTGCCGACGCACACCCGATATCAATGGTCGGCCTGCAAAATTTGGACTACCGATATAACATGCTGAAAATTTCATACTTGTACCAAAAATACGGTGTGGTTTCAAGCTATAATCAAAAAAAATTGCTTGAGGTATCATTAGATTAGACTCAGAATCAGAATCGACGGTTAATGCATACTGCATTCTCCTTCTCTCTCACTTTTCTGAAAGGAATAAGAAGCAACGAATATTATCTTGAACGCAAATTAGCATAGGTTGGAATCCATGGGACTCTGGATCAGATCCCTGTAACTGAATGGTTTACAAGCTCACCTTGTAACCGGAAGGTCTGCAGTTCCAGCCCCTATGTGTATGTACTGCCTAAGAGTCGCAGACAAGGATGAAACAGGTATGTAATACACCCTGATGGTTTCCAATGGTTCTCTAAGTGATGTCAGCTCATTATCGACTCCTAGCTTAAAGATAGACAGGAGGGAAGTGGTGGATGAGCATTTTGACCACTTCACTTATTTGGGGAGTTACATTAGCCAACGCCAACAGGTTGATCACTGACCATATCTAAGCACAAATACAGATGGTTCGCATCGGATTTGTCAACTTACGCCACCTCTGGCGTAGACGTGATATCCAACTGGCTATTGATCAAAGGATATGTGTAATGCTCAGCAGTTCACTCTGTCCTCCTTTATGACTGTCAGCGAGACATGGCCATTGAAGGTGGAAGACATGAAGAAATTGCATAGTTGTCTTTGATCACAGTTATCTGCGTTCTATGTCCCGTGTTAAGTGGTGGTATAATAAGGTAAGCAATATCGAGGTTAAGACTTTGGTTAAGTGCTAGGTAGGTTGGAGGGGGGGGGGGGGAAATCAATCGACGAGGTTGTAAAGTTACACCGATTGAGATTGTTAGGTTATGTGTTACCCATGCATCCCCCTTGTTATCGATCGCCTTCCTCGCAAACGAGCAATGTTAGCTGACATAGGGTGGATCAGGTTGGAAAAGAGCTAGCACATGGTGGTCAAATCAAAACAAGGTTTCATTAGTCATCGGAATCCATAACAACTAGTTAAAGCCAGTCACGTAGGGAGACATAGACTTCCTGGTGGCTGGTTGGGGCCCTCAGGATGATAAAAACCAATGACGACCGGAGACAGTTGCTGATATGGCTCATAATCCTCGTTCGCAATGGATAGCGCAGATGCATTCATTCTGTGATTTATTATATCCAATTAAAACTATATTGTTCTTCCATATTACTATTCTTTTTTCCTCATATCTATGTTTATTATCTCTCTTTACTTTCTTCTCTTGCTTTGTGTGCTACATGGAGGGAGAGTATTTCAATACTGTCTGTATAATGAATTGATAGGATGTACTCGTATAAATGTAGCTGCAGTGCTTTAATGAGCCTGCAACCTTATTCACAGGTCATTGATGGAAATATATATTTAGATGTACGGAGTGTAGAAAACGAACAAGTGTACGTACTGGTAAGTGACACTCTCATTTAATTGTCTTCTAGGAACTTTCTATGCTAAATCGAAACTTTCTTTGACGAATATATACTGTTTCTTTGCCAATACTGGATTTTGAAATCCGGAGTGAGATTAACTGCCACTCAGACAGAAAATACATTGACGTCAACTGTGCAGTGCTTTCAATTTTGTCGAAATTTTTTGGCATAATAGAAAATGAACAATATTAAACAAGTGTTGGGAGCAGTCAGTGTTATCGTTCACATCGACGAAACAGTGCTCATAAAGAAGAAATACAGTAGACGACGTGCTAGAGCTAACAATGTTTGGGTATTGGGAATTTATGACACCCAAAATTCAGAAAAGAATTCATTGGACCAATTCCAGACAGGAGTGTCGACACTCTTCTGCCTATTATTCAAAGACTCGTTTTGCCTGGCACTCCTGTACACACGGATGAATGGGCAGGATATAACCGATTATCGGATTTAGCATATATATACACAACCGAGTTAACCATTCTGATGTTTTCATCGATCCCAGCACACGTATTCATACTAATTCAATAGAGGATTTCTGGGGAAGATTAAAAAATAGAATAAGAGCAATAAATGGACCTCAAAACCAAGTTATTTTTAGTCACTTGGATGAATACATGGATAGAAATTGGTTTCATTTAAAAAATGACACTCCGCATTATAATTGGGACATATTTTTATCTCATATCAGAGAAAAATACCCTGTTTAATGTTTTATCATGCTTTTTTGTGTAAATATATCTAATTTTTTGTACAAAAATCCCTCATTTTTCTGATTGGTCGACTCAAGGTCACTCGTGCGTTCGCATCACAAAATAAACAAAATTTAAGACGCATGAAAACTTGCTCACCTTTAAACGCATACGAAACTTCTCTACAATCGCATCTTTATCATCTTTTTCTAAGCCTAACTCTTTTTTAATTACTTTCAATTGTTCTGATAGCATATACCGTCGATGTTGTTGTTTCACCTTCTCCTCGACTTCTCGGCCAATCTGTTGTTGCAGTCTGCCTAATTCATATTCTTTTTTCACTAGGCTTAATGATAACCGAAGACGATTTGTAATATCCATTTCTTCTAAGACGGCTTGTAGTTCTTCAGAGTCACCAGCACCACTTAAAGCAGCGCCTAAATTATTCAAGAAAATAAAAAGTCCAGTATACTTGATATAAGAATAGGACTTGTGCACTGGGGCGGTATAGAGTAGCATTCGATTGTAGGTAAAATTTATTTTGATAAAGTCACACATAGTGGTGTTATACAGTAATATTTATTGATGACAACCACGTTTTGAGCACAATTTATTACTGCTCATCGTCATCATATCAAGGCATTAATCAAACAACTTTTTAACTTCATTTATGTATTTCCATTATTTTCCATCGCTTGATTTGATTGAAAGTGGTATTTTCCATATTTCCGGTATGAGTGATGAGTCATCCCTATTGCATGTGGTGTTGGGTGTAGGATTCAATGAACAAGGATTCAGTGGCATTTAAAACTACAAACTCACTCAGGTAGGACAAGCTCTGTAGATGAAAGGACCCTGTCGGTTGACCCAATTAGACAAAACAACATTATTTACAAAATACCTTGCAATCATTGTAAGTGAAATCAACTACCTAGGTCAGTGAAACTAGTAGATCGGGGGTAGTCAGATTGTCGGAATATAAGAATTCAGCTAAGGTAAGAATGGTTGACCCCGAGGAGATAAGTAATTTAGAAAAAAAGCTCAGCGATTGCACTGCATGCATTAACACACAACCACACAATAGGGTGGTGGGAGAGGGTTAAAATTCTAAAAAGTAATCTAGGTAGGTCCTGTGGAGCTATTTATATTGGCCGAACAAAGCACACACTTTCCGAATGCATCTCTGAATATTATCTGGCATGGTTAACAAAGGGACAATGCAAGACAGTTAATAGCTCAATTCTCGAGTACTTGGTGAATTCAAGGCACGCTGCTCAACCACATTCGTCTTTCAAGATTATCTACAAAGTGAGGCCAAATGGTACAAAGGGTGTCAGGTTTCGGCATTTAAGTATGGCGGAGGTTTTGATGATTCGTCAATAGAACCTCGAACTCTGTATACAGAAGAAGTTCGTCCAGTCTCTTATTCTACCATGGTATCAACCTCTTCATTAGTCGTCCCCTGTGAATTTTTTACTTTCCTTAATTTTTAATGATTACTTTGCTTTTAATTTTAATAATAATAATCTACTTTATTCCAAAAACAGTACTTATAATACACAATGGAATTCTCAGTATTTGTCACAATATTGCATCTGATTTACTCAAAATATAAATAAAATTAAAACAAAATGAACCAGAGGAATTTGTCCATATTTACGACATGAAGCCAAAAATATTCGAAGCATGAATTGAGATTATTAAATATAATAATAATAACAATAACACAGAGAAGAGACTAGAGGTGAAAAAGACACCTACCTAACCAACAAAAACAACACGCACCGGTCACCACCAACAGGATAAATGAAAAGGAAGTCGACGTTTTCATTTATATACGCAGCATCGTATGAACTACAGACGGCATCACACACATGAAGATTTCAAAGGCACGATCAGGAAAGCAAGACAGACCTTCACACCATTTAGCACGAACAAGGAACAAGATCCTAATTTTCAACATTGATGCCCAGTCGGCGCGCATTTCAGACAGACTGCAGATTGTCGTCAACAGACACCACCACCTTTCAAGTATTGGTTTGTAGGGGGGTTTTGTAACTAGAAGGTACTGGGGTCGAACCCTGATGGTGGGTGTGTACTGATCAAGAGTCCCAAACTAGGTTTTCCAATGGTTCTCTAACTGATGTCAGCTCATGATGAAATACCTCAACCAAGATACCACCTTAGCAAGTGTTGGTTTGCAGGGATTTGGTTTGATTGGTTACAAGATTTTATCATTTGCTGACATCCATTAGAGAAACGCTGGAAAACCATCAGGGAGTACTGGACAGCTGTTTCATCCTAGTTTGGGGTTCTTCATCAGTACACCCGCCCCGCCTTTGATTGATAGTAAAGATCAGATTCAGAGTAGGGAATACTAGTAATAACCCATCGCTTGCCGGTTAATTACTCACACTAACTAGGTTGGAGGTCCACAGGTTTACAGATCAACACTTTGTGACAAACAAAACATAAAAGAGCACTGTAGACGTCTCGATATTCACTTACCTAAATCACTGAGGTAGACAGGATTATCAGCGACACGTTGTCCAGCTTGAAGCATAGCAAGAACATTCTCTCTGCATAAATATATAGAGAAAAGTGGAAAAATTAGAATATAAACCACTAACTTATTCATCACATATTTGAAATCGTGTTAGAAGTTAGTTAAGTAGAAGAGATTCCTGATGCACCAGGCTAGCAGTCACAGAGTTACAGCAGGTAGTGCAAGTTGCTGATACTGTGGTGAGAGCTGGCTGCTAGCCAAAAATTGGTAGACAGTAATTTACGTCAGTATTTACATCCCCAACATTAGTCATGAGAAAAATATGAACAAAGACTGATTCAACAACCAATCACAGCAGACTTTGCGTAGGCGGATGCAATTTGCAGATAGATGATCTGACATTCAAGAAACGGCTACAAAGAGATGAAAAATAAACGTTCAACGAGAAACCACCAATCAGAAGACTGCGTTTGTTTCCTTACAGTAATCTATAATAATGTACATGAAAATCTATAAATATGTGTTGATTGCCTTAATAAACGATCTGCTGCCTGGCTCTTGTCCTCTGTTGTTACAATACTACCACTACCCAGTTGGTCAGACAGAGTAGGATTCGAAACCGGGAACAGTCAGCTGAAAGTCGACTGGTTAAACCAGTGTGAGTCATGTCTCAAATGAATAGTAGCAAATACCCTCTGACACCAGAAGAACTCAGTAGATTGACTGATATGTTGCCCTTTTGATCAAGTTTCAGTGAATGGAAAATTTCATTTATATGGATTGCCAAAACGAATCATGAATATTCACATGAATGGTGTTCAATTTTTATCCATTCAAAAAACCCAGAAATACGGAGGAATACTCCGCAAATTATTATTATTATTCTCTTGGGTTCCGAGTGAAACATAGGGCTTCAACAGCACATCTACACTTTCTTATATTTGGTGCTATCCTCTTCAGTTGGGTCCACGACTGCCCATGATCTCTCATCTCCTACTCCTCAACTACACGATCTCCTCCATGTCAACCTCACACTGACAAGCCACTCGTCGCTTCCTACTAGGATTCCACGCGAGCGATGACCTCCATTGCGTACGCGATGTCTTTCGACGGCCTCTTCAATGTATGCCCAATCAATCCATCTCCATTTCCTCCTCTTACATATTTGTTGAGCAATCGGCTCTTACTTGTTGGTTTGTTCCCAGACAGAGTTTCTTGTTGCTAATTCGTTCTGGCCAGCAAGCCAGCTGGCCGGCCTTTTGATCTTCAGTATGGAACCAGACAGCAAAGTGGGCAGCTGTTGATAAAAGTGTCTGCAACAGGCTGTTGGAAATCCTTTTCATGACACACCAGCCATGTTTCCAATGCATACAGAAGAACAGACTATCTGCTTGCATATTTGATTGGAAAATCCGAATCTCTTCCTTTATGCTGACTGAGTGACAGCAGAAGATTTCCAAACTGGTTTCAGGTTGATGAAGACGTATTTTGGCCTGCTTTCGCACACACTTCACACTTTCCGACTGCCTGTGGCTGAAACTGTCAAATATCTTCCGTTGATGGTGATTGTTGTTGCTGTTGGTTGGTTGTTCATCTTCATCACCTATGTCTCACTGCGGAAATATTCTCTGCTTTATGTGAAATTTGCACTCAATGAATGTTAACTATTTGCTGATTACGTCACCAAAGTTGCCGGAAAGCAAACAAATAAACACACATTAGTCAGTTCCATCATTATTTCAGATGAGACAACCTTCGATAAGCGCATATTACACCGCTCTATATACCTACCTGATATATCCGGTCGGTCATCAAAGGATGCAACTACTCTCTCTGTGTGTAGCGATTCATTCTGTTTGTGAGACATACCCATCGGAAGTGGCAGATAATGATGAAGAGATTAGCTGTCTTTATTCACAGGCATCTGAGCCCTATTCGCTCGGTTTTTCGGGTGCAGCAACATGGTCAATTAATAATGAAATTCGGTGTAGAATGATAGATAGGGTGGGGGAGACATCATTCTCGATGAAATTTTAATAAAGGTTAAGTCGGTCAAAATGACTGGGACATGTGTTGTGTCTGTGTCAACGAGACATCGTCTTTCCTGACGAACAATACAAGTTAATATGCCCGTGTAAGTTGGAGACGAGTTAAAAGTGATCTGAACCAACACACATGGTATCAATGCAGCAAGATTTTGACTGTTGATTTAGGAGACTATCGATGGTGGCTTTTTGGCTTCCATCGTTATCAGTGCACACATTGAAGAGGAAGTGAAGGGCCATCAAGTAGAGGAGTTGCATTGGTAGAAGGAAGGCAAGATAATAGAGATGAAGATGGATACAAAGATGAGTGAGGATTAGAGAGGTTTTGTGTGCACTTTGAAGTGTGAGGGCGATTGTTACTTCCCGGCTGCCCACATCGTGGAAGTTGGTTGCGTGACCGCAGAGCCCAAGGGACAACTGCTTGAGGCCGGTCACACACGGCCTGTTTTTGTTTGTTCTTTTTTATTTGGTGTGTCTCAGTAGCGTATTTGTCACTTCTGCCCTGTGACACGGCAGCAGAAAGCGCGGTCGTTGTTAATCCGGGCCCCGACCGATCCGGCATGATATTTTGTGTTTTTATTTGAGTCATGGTATTGGATTGGGTAGCTGCTTTTTGTCTAACCGCTTTCCAAACAACCTTTCTGGCATGGTAGGACCTACAGGAACATAAGTTCCAGCTAGTGTAGCTCGTTGGGTCATTGCGATATGCAAGCCCGACCACCACGTCAAGGTAGCAGCTTTCGGTCGGGACTGTTGATTTAAGCCATGTTGGTAAGTGTGGGCCTATTTGGGGTTAAGCTCTATATTAGTTTGTTTATTAGATGTATCACACAGTGGAACAGTATTATTTACTGGATGACACAGTTTCGAACACAATTCATTATTGTTCATAATCATATCAATTATAATCACACGACTTCGAAACTTGAGTTTTATAGTTTTCTCCTATTTGTCATCGTTGGGGTAGTTGAATTTTCTAGATATCTGGGACAGGTGTTGAATCATTCCTACTACACCTATTCCCTATCATTTGATTCGATAAATAAAGCTTCTGTTATCAATCTTCCCCACCCGCCACCCTGTTACATTAGATTTTAAAACTGTCGTCCTATCCCATCCTATTGTACGGTTGTGTGTAGCTGCATGCAGTGCTATAGCTGAACTATTCTCTACGAATAGGAATAATTCAACACCTGTCCACCCAGATATCTGCAGAATTCTACTACTCGAACAAGGACAAATAGGAGAGGACAAAGAAAACTATAAAACTCAAGTTTCGAAGTCGTGTGATTATAATTGATATGATTATGAACAATAATGAATTGTGTTCGAAACTGTGTCATCCAGTAAATAATACTGTTTCACTGTGTGATATATCTAATAAACAAACTAATATGGAATTACTTACTACCACAGTGCCCAAGTTTTATGCATATATTAATATGGGGTTAAGCACCTCGAAACGCTAAGAGACTGTTGGTGACATGGCTTGAAATCGTTTTTTAACGACTCCGGAGGCATTCACCTGTTGTGATCTCCTAAACTAACCAAAATTCTCGTTATTCTCAGAGTAATTATTCTGTCTCCCATACATTTTCATTCATTATTGTTTGTTTGTATTTTTCTGTACTTTTGTAAACTATGGTAACTGGGACTGCTGCACTTTTATGAAAAGCTCTACACTGGAAATTCTGTTTAGCCACTGAGCAACACGTATGAATCATGTTTTTATCAGCCTCAGCCTGTGTAAATGAGTACTGTCATTAACTCTCACACACATTAAGGGCATGGGCTGATAGACTGATACATGATGTGTTCCGGGTAGGGGGGCGGAAGGGGGTTATACTCGACAGTACACCCCTGGATAGTACAATGCTTCTGGTTGTAATACTAGCGAAGTAAGTTTGACTTTCTGAGGCGTCATCAGTAACTGACTTCGGGGGTCTGTAGACACATCTAGCTGGAAAGTGTTGAAAAGCGTAGAATTCAATTCGAAGAGGATGCTATATGTCGACTATTTCTAAGCACGTAGTATACGAAATTAAATAGTTATAACTGGAAATTTATTGGCCATACTATCGGAGATGTTACCAGGGAATAATCTCGTTGACTAAGAATACGCAGATAATATAGTCCTCTTAATTGAAGATGCTGACAAAATAGAGCAGAATCTTCGGAACACCTTGAGCTGGGCAGCAATCTTAGAATGTTTGGCATACGATTCGCTCCCTTTGTCAAATGTAAGATGATGCTTGCTGCAGGATTGGACTACATCGACACACTCCTAGCTCAAAGATAGGCACAAGTGAAGGGGTGGCTGAGCGTGTTGATAACTTGGGGAGTTGCATCAGCCAACACCAGCGGGTTGGTCGCTGACAAAATCTCAGAAATTGATACAGAAGGCTCCTTTGGCATACGCCAACTTACGACATATCTGGCCGATTATCGATAAGAGTGTACTACTCAGCAGTTCGCTCTGTCCTGCTTTATGGCCGTGTGTGGGACATGGCAATTGAAAGTGGAAGACATGAAGACACTGCCTAGTTGTCTTTGATTATAGGTGTTTGCGTTCTATCTCCTGTGTTAGGTGGTATATATAATAAGGTGAGCAATACTGAGGTTAGGCTTCGGTCGAGTGCTAGGTAAGTGGGCGGGGGGGGGGGGGGAATCAATCGATGATGAGGTTGTGAAGCTACATCGATTGAGATGCTTAGGACATGCGTTACGCATGAATGCCCAGTCATCGATTGCCTTTCTCGACAATGAGCAATGTTAGCTGACATTGGATGGTTCAGGTTGTTGGGAAAGAGACAGTGGTGGTGGTCACACCGAAGCTTGGCTTTATCAGTCAATCAAATCCACAACTGTTAGTTTAAGCCAGTCACGTAGGAAGGTATAGACTCCCTGTCTGGCTGGTTGTGGTCCTCGGGATGGTTGAAAGCAATGAAGGTTGGAAACAATTGGTGAGTTGGCTCGAAATCATTCTCAGTAGATGGCTCAGGTACATTCACTCTTTGTGATTTATAATACCCAATAAAACTATATTGTTCTTCCATATTACTATTCTTTTTGCCGCATATTTCTCCCTTTACTCTCTTCTCTTGTTTTGTGTGGCAACTGGAACTGCTACACATCTGTGCAAAGGCCTGCGTCAAAACCAGTCAGTCAGTCAGTGAGTCACTATCCAAGATAATTAGAGAAAGAATAATATTCAAAAGAACAATAGTAAGCAGAAAAGGTATGGGAGAGAAAAAAAACATTAAAAAAATGACGATTTAATTAATCTGAGTGATTACAAAGGGTAAGTGGACATGCACCATTAAGAACGACTTCCAGTCACTACTTCTTAGTGTATCGAGAACTCTATCAAGGTGGTCTACACCTCCCTATGTGTGACTTGATGAGCCGATCGGGGAAGAGGTAGCCTCGGCATGCGTAACACACATGTCCTGATCATTTCAATCGACGCAACTTTACAAGCTCATCCATTGATTTCCCCATTCTTCACTTACCTAGCACTCAACGGAAGCCTAACTAACTCAATATTGTTCACCCTATTATTTATACCAGGATTTAACACGGGAGGTAGAATGCAGACACCTATGTGATCAAAGACAGCCATCTAGCCAGGCTTTTCATGTCTTCCTTTGTTTCAATGGTCACACACCTCACTCACAGCCATAAAGAAGGATAGAGCGAACTGGTGCACAGTGCATACACGCTTTGATCGATAGCTTTTTATTACATCTACGCAAGGGGTGACACAAACTGGCAAATGCCACACAAGCCCTTTGTAACTGTGGTAAGATTTCGTCAGCATTCAATCTATAGGGAGAGATGCAACTCTCTAAATAAGTGAAATGGTCGACACACATTCAACAGTTAACAGAAACTTCTGCTAAATCGAGTGCATTAGAGATCAGATGGTTTAGCTTAGTTGGTAGAAAGCAAAAAGAGGAATTCGTTTTGCCACTATTTCTCTTCAATACCTTGGGTCCCGGAGTCGAACATAGGGCTTCAGAGCTATTGCTGTCGCCAGCTTCACATCCAACCTTCCCTCGTTTACAGGCTTACCACCAGCTACCGGTTATTAATCAAGAAGGCGAGATTTAGAAGTACATCGGCGTGGAATTGTGCCTTGGCCTCCCGAGTGGATGGCCAGCCATTCTACCACTGAACAGCCTTAGTATGTAACGCAAAAAGTTGTATCATATTATGTATGACTCAGTCATCAGTTCCTGAAATCGAAATGAATTCACCAGAGAGAAAAGAATATAAAATATCATCTGAATACTTCAATGGTTACAACTCACCTATACACCGGATTCAAGCTAATAATATCACGTATTGTTTTTACAATTTCAGCGCTTAAAGCCTATATATAAAGGGAAACGTAGAAATAGAAAAAAAAGGAACTCTGATAAGGGCAAAACAGTTTTTTCTTCACTTTACAAGTTGTCATAAAAAACCCATCAGTTGGATACAATAAGTAAATAAGCAGTCCAGTAGACACCAGTATTAAAGAAAACATACCTCTTTGAAAGCTTATAATAATACCTTAGCAGTATCAACCTAGCAAAACCGCTAGTGAGCATCAGATTAATCTTCAAGTATTGGTTTTGTAGGGATTTAGTTTGATTGGATGGAGGATTTCATCATGAGTTGACATCAGTCAGAGAACCATTGGAAAACCAGTCACAGGGAGTACTGGACAGCTGTTTCGTCCTAATTTGGGACTCGTCATCAGTAGGCACCCACCGACAGCGTTTGAACCCAGGACCTTCTGGTTACAAGACTAGGGAGCTCGTAGACCATTAGGCTACTGGAACCAGATCCAATGCCCAGACCATGAATTCTAACTTCTGCCAATTCATGACATAGCGCGACCATTTCGCAATATCTTCTTCGATGAGTTACTGCCTCATCTTCAACCTGCTGTACTCTACTGGTCACGACTTCCCGCTAGAACCCCATCCAATCAAACTAAATCCCTACAAAACCAATACTTGAAGATTAATCTGATGCTCACTAGCGACTGGCTCTATTCAGGTAGTGGCCTGGGGTTCTAGTGGGAAGCCGTGAGCAGTAGGGTATAGCAGGTTGAAGATGAGCCAGTAACTCATCGGAGAAGACATTGCGAAATGGTCGCGCTATGTCGTGAATTATTATCACTACTGTTTCCTTGGGTTCCGAGTGGAACAACACAGGGCTTTAGCAGAGCACATCTCCACTTTGTCTTATTTTCTGTGGTCCCTGGCGCCACAACAATAGTCTCTCATCTCCTCCTGGCCGCACAATCTCCTCCATGTCACCCTTGGATCCAAACCAGACACGTTGTTTCCTATTCAGGTTTCATTTAAGTGATAGCCTGACTGGAGCATGATGTCCTTCAACAATTTCTTCAGAGTATGTCCAATCCATCTCGATTTTCTCCGGAATATTTGTTGAACGAGCAATACGTTCTTGGTTGGTTCTTTCCCGGAAAGAAGTGCTTGTCGCAAATTCTTTCTGGCCATCTGATCTTCAGTATGGAGCCAGCGAAGAGAGCAGCTGTTGATAAAAGGATGTAGTATCCAGTTAGAAATGCTCTTCGTGACGTGCTTGCCTAGTTTCTGACCCACATAGAGAATAAATGACTTAACACTGGTGTTGCAAATCCGAATTTCGTTCCAAACTGACTTCACAGTGATGAAGGTGTACCTTACCTCTTCAATTTTGACTTTGGGGTCCTCATCTGTTTCACCTGCAACTGATACGATGCTTCCTGGCCAGATAAGTGAAGGAAGTAACCTCTTTCAAGTTTCTCCCGTTGATGGTGATTTGTGTGTGCTGGTTGTTGTTGTTGCTGTTGATTGATTATCTTCATCATCACCCCGATCTTCTCCATGTTCACGTGTAATCTGCCCTGTTTTTGCTGCCTGCTTCTTGAGCTAGTTTGTTGGTTTTCGCCTGTTGATAAGTCTTCGAGTTTTTGTAACATTAGATATAAATCATCTGCCGCGAAATCCAGATCTTCTAGAGTCTTTTTATTGGCCTAACGTCCTGTCCTGTCCTCTCGCTCTCCACAGTCTTATGCATAATCCAGTCGTCCACCACAATTAGGAATATTATCGGTGATAATAGGCAGTGGTCTTGTCTTACTCGCGTCTTCACTTCAAAGGCTTCGGTGAGTTTTCCATTGTGGATTACTTGACACGCTGCATTGTAATATACCCGTTGAGTGAGGTTGATAAATACTAAGGGCATGCCATAGCGTTGAAGTAGTTTCTAAATTACTTCGCGGTCAATGCGGTTGAAACACTAGTGAACAGCTTCAAAATGCAGCTATTTTGTTTGATAGTGGCCAACAGTGGAATTCGGGATGCGCAATTTCGTCCCATTTAGGGCATTTTAGCTGGCTGAACGTTGACAAAGACCGAACATCTCGGTTTGTGCCATATCACCAATAGTCCCCAACCATTGGTGTTCAAGTGTCTCGTGAGGCTGCCTAACCAGACAGTCTAAACCCTCATATGTGCCTGATTTCGTCCAACAATCAATGACTTAATGGATTGATGCCAGGTTTTGGTTTGACCACGCCTAAAAGTCTCCTCACACCTAAATTAACAGACATGATTTCTAGCGTAGGGATATCCACTTATCCATGACACTGGATAGAGTTCGCAGTAGTTAGCGAAACTAACAAATCACTCGTCGTCATTGGATTTTGACCTTTTTGAATGATTTGGTAAATCCTATTAACTCGTAATCTGGTTGCCGTGAGGGTTCGGTTCCCCACGATGTTTCCTAGTGACTTTTCAAAATCATAACTAATTCGAGATGGAAAACAATTTAGAATAAGCATAAATCTTAACTATCCCATTGACAGTAAACTTCTGATTAACGTTTTCCATATGCACAAGTCATAACCGGAGTTATTCACCCACCACCCACCCCCACCCCCAGAATATGCCATGATCCTTAGTTAGTTATACGTATAAAAATTAGCTACATTAGGAAAAGATTCTGACCAACAGATATGTAGGTTCGAAGTTTCATCACTGATAATATCAGTTAAAGAATTACTGAAAACCAAGGAGTACCGGACAGCAATCTCGTCTTCGTTTGGGACTCTTTATCAGTACGCACCAATGACCCCATTAAGTATCAAACCCAAAACCTTCAGCTTACGAGGCGAGCACGTTGACCATTGAGGACGGAATCCAATGGCTTATGAATTTTAACTTCTGTCAACTTGCAATTTGTAGCACCACCGTTAGCCAATGTCTTCGGCGAGTATTTGTCCTCACATCCGACCTGCTGCACTCTACTCGTCACGACTTCCCACTGGAACCCTAAGTAACTGCCTACTTGAATAGGGCCAGTTGCCAGTGAGCATCTCATTGATATTCAAGTATTCGTTTGTAGGGATTTGGTTGATTGGTTAAAGGATTTCATCATCAGCTGACATTGGTTAGAGAACCATTGGAAAGCCTGGGAGTACTGCACAGCCAGCTGTTTCGTCCTAGTTTGGGACTCTTCATCAGTACTCACCCACCGGGGTCCGAACCCAGGACCTTCTGGTTACGAGGCGAGTTCATATACCATTAAGCCACTGGGACCCAATCCAATGGCCCATGAATTCAAACTTCTGCCAATTCACGACATTGCGCAACTGCTAGCCAATGTCATCGCTGGCGAGTATTTGTCCTCACACGTGTATTTGATAGAAATCGGTTAAAACAACAGTAATCATCTTGGTCAAATCGCCAACCAATCGGAATGCTTATTTTTCTCCGACCTAGCTAAATCGCCTACCAATCAGAACAATCTACTTTCCACTGCCCAAGGCAGATTACAATGTGGTTGAAAAAATACATATATATAAAAACATGACGTGCTTTTTTCCTAATAAAACTGTATCCTAACAGTCATAGGCCAATCTTTATCTTTTGTTATCTAAGTGGCTCATTGAAACGGAAGATGCTATGGACAACAAATAGGTGTGTCTAGCATACCGGTTGAGTTGTTCATTGAATCAGTATTATTATTATTATACCCACGCATAAGTCCAATCATCAGTCATATCGACTATCAATGGCATCATAATGATAATTGGCGACGGGGCTATTCAATTCAGCGCAGCCATAACAGTATTGATCATCAAATCTGACCTGACAGACTACAGAATGGAGTCGCCTCGAGTTTTAGTGACAAATGGAGTTCATTAGGTCGGGTGCAAAGAAAAATACTCACTGCTGATTGGTCAAAAATGAGCTCACCTTGAGACCGGAAGGTCCTGAGTTCGATTCCCGGCGGGGGTGATGATGAGTGCGTACTGATTGTAGGCAGGACTATCTGTCGAGTAAGTACTCCTTGGTTATACGTAATTGTCTAACTAGTGTCAGAAATCAATCAAATTCCTACGAACACTTAGAGATACGTAAGTTTTTTTTGGTGGGCGAAAGGCTGGGGACATACACAAGAAAACCGACAGGACTGATTAGCTCCACAACATCAACCTGATGTAGGAGGATATTAGTGAAAACTTCCAACAGTAAGTTACATTAAATGATACAGCCTAACAGCTAGACGTATATGAATATCTGTGCACCATGCAACATTTCGGAAGTTGAATACGGTAATGAAACACGACCTAGTCTCTCTCATTGAGGAGCTATAGATCTACGCTTTCGAGGAGACATTCGCATGAATTAATGTTGGACAGATTACATAATACAGTTAAGAACACATCTACACTAACCTTAATTTCCTGAGTATTTTCATATGGTTCATGGTATAAATTAATTGTTTCGCCGATGAGAACAGGAGAAACAGGCGACGACGCCTCAGTATCTGTCAATGGTATATCTGACAGAAAATCTTTCTGTCCAGTAACAGGTTTGTCATCTTTCACTGAAGTGCTTTTAGAATCAGGTTGTTGGTCACCTGATGATGGTGTTGCCGTTGCTGTTGATGACGAAGAGGAGACAGAGTTCAAAGATTCAGTAAATTTAGCAGCTGCACGTTTAGCACGTCGAACTAAACTGTTGCGTTTACCAACTATAAGACAAAAAAACAAGTACAAATGTTTTAACGACTGAAGATTTGACGTAAATATACATCAAGCGTTAGTATATAACAGGATTAATAGAAACTACTTAGGATCTGGAATAAAGTACTGAGCAACAGCGTTCAAGTTGATATGAATATGTTCCTTAATAAACTTGAAGAAAGCAAAGAGAAATAAGGATAAAACTTCGGCACTACTGTGGTGCTGGTAGAGTATAACTCCATTATGGATAAAATTTTATTTTGATAAATTCACACACAGTGGCATTATGCAGTAAGTAATATTTACTGATGAAAGCGTTTCGAGCACAGTTTATTACTGCCCACCAGCATCATATCAAGGCACTCCTAAGCCTCATCCAGTTGGCTGCAAGCATCAAAAAAGAGAAGTTGGGGCACAAAACTTTATATTCCACTCCAAACACAAGAAATGAACACAAGCCATCCCACTAATGTTCACCATTATCCAACAAAAAGAGGTACTGAAGTGCAGGAATTGTCTAACATGTATCGAAAACAGCATTTTTTTTTTACTTCACGTTCCCCAGTGGAACATAGGGCTTCAAGCTAGTAGCTTGAAGTTTCTGTAGCAATGTTTAATTTTTACAGGATGGGATTGCTAGCCTCATGCCCAACCTTTCCTCCTTACCAGCATTATTTCTGGCTTAGCGAAATAAAGGAGTGCGTCGGCGGGGGATCGAACCCCGGACCATGTGCATTGTCGGCGAGCGTCCTAACCGCTATGCCGCCGACGCATCGACAACAGCATAATTGACAAAATGTTTTTCAACTTTACAACCTTCATATTAGTGACTCACAAAAAGAGAACTTTGTTTTCCTCGCGTACAGAAGAAATATAGTTACTTCGCGTCGTTATATAGGTTTAAATGCATATAAAGAAAGTTCAACGCATCAGCATCCACCACACTTTACGAATCACAACTTCACCTACTTAAATACTTGTAAGTAGTTAGAATAGACTACAAAAAATAACCAATAAAGTACAAAACAACAAAAAGAAAACCCATACAGAGAATCTGAAAAAACCAAATAAGATTCTATAAACACAGTTATGATATTACTGAAAGCCTCTTTTCACAAGGTTAAACTGTTACTTGCATGAAACTATGATAAATAAGTGGGGTCACTGGACTAAGTGGCTTATCTGTTTAAGCAACCTGCTTATCGCGAAGTGATCCCGGGTTCGAATCCCGCTCCACTTCTTTAGAGTGAGCCCAACCTCTCCACTTTTCTAAGCTGAGAAAAGCGCTTCAGATCTGGGAATCAAACCCGACTGTGTATTTGACGTAGTGATATTCACATGGATTTGTTATGAAAAAGCATGCAAAATTCAACTTCATACTTACCAGGAAAGTTATTTGTTTCCTCCACAGCCTTTTCATCAACTGCACGGACGAGTTCAATACTATTTATTGTAAAAGCAAAAACAAAATGGCTGAAATATTCTGCAAAGAAAACAAAACATGCCTACAAAGAAGACTAATCAAATGTGAAACACTTCCAGGGGGGGGGGGGAATTCTTTTCAACATACAGACATTCGTGGTGATTAATCAATCCGTAAACCATAATAAACCTAATCTTTTCATCTCAAATAACTTCTTACACTAATCAACAAAGTTGAGAAACGCCGACTCAGATGGTGTGAAGCATGGGGAGGGGAATGAACGCAACCAATGACCTTTGAACCAACAATCGTGCTTTATAGTGAATTTCAGTCCCTAACTCAAATTTAGCCCTAATTTTTCTCTAATCTAACTAAGATCTAATTAGATATCCTGTTTAATATCATTAACACTTCATTAAACACTTTTTTTCGTTATTATGATGTTATGCAGTAACTGGTGACAGTAACAATTACTCTGCTTGTGTGGTTTAACGTCGTTGGTGCGTTAGTTCCCGATTGGATTGTGCTATTATTCAGCTTGGCCTACTCATCTTATAAGATGACTAAACTCCGATCGTTTCATGCGAAAAATTATACTGAAAATATTCATTCAAACATCTAGAAAAAAACAATTGAGCAAAGAATATCCTTTTCGATAAATTCCTCTTCTGGCTCTACAATTATATATATGCATGTTTATATACATAGAATATTTTAAATTAGTAGTCAATAACAATATTAGTGTTTTTTAAATAATGTCGATTTGTAAAGTAAGATCAAAATGGAATTACAGTTCATTAAAGATGCTTAAATTGTAATAATGAGCATAAAAATGTAAATGCAAATAGAATATCAACTAAAATTAAGGAAATTTCCACAATAAATTGAGGATCATTCAAACCTAGATGGCCAAGGTAAGGATAATGTCTGAACTAGCTTCTTTTGGACACAGAAATTAGGCTTCTTAATTTGGATCCCAACAGCCTCAGTAATATTTAGTAAACGAACTCTTAAGGAGAAGTTAAGATTTGTTGGTATGCGGTAAATTACTTTGAAAGCCGCCTCGTTGACATCAATCTTGTGTTCTGTATCCACAAGATGAGATAGAATAGCGCTACGAATAGATTTGTTTGTCCTTTACTGAAGCCCTTTGCAGGGTAAATGTTCAGAAATCCGACGAGAGACACGCCTAGTTGTATGGCCTATGTAACTGGCTCCACAGGAGCAGTTACCAAAAATATGACTACAGTCAGAAGTGGAGAATGAAAGCAACTGCTTGCCCATGAATTTAACTTGTACCGAAATTGGGATTTTACCGCAACTGGCACCAGACAACGTCATCGGCAAATATTTATCGTCACGCCTGAAGATATGGAACCTACTAGTCACGACTTCTCACTAAAACTCAAGGCAACTTTGTCCAGTAGCCAGTCACTAGAGAGCATCGGATTAATTTTCAGGAGTTAATTTGTAGTGATTTGATTTCCTGATATTACTCCATGGGGCGTGCAATTTTGCTCTACAGGTGTGAAATCTGGTCTCTCCAAGCTAAGGATGTGTGGTGATTCTGCGTATTCAATCCTTGCGCCCAACGACATCATAGTGTCAGGAATTTTGAGGTCCATTAGTGTGTGTTTGAACACGGTGGAGGTCATCACTCACTGAGCGTACTCGTGTGGAAACACTTGCTTCGGTGGATTGAACATGTGCTATGAATGTCATCTCATTCCAGGTTCTGTTCGCTAGTCCTTGGACTAGATGGGAAAAGCGGAGAGTTAGCCAGTCTATGACGTGAGGTCGGGGGATGAAGGATATCTGTGTTAGGTTAGCATCAATGGGTAAATCATTACTCCCTGGTTGAGTTCCCAGAGACAGTTCGAATTTGTGGCTCAGAATGTTATCAGGAATGACGAAGAATCGCAAACAATGGTTCAGATGCTGCGATTTCCTTCTTTCTTCCGTTTCTGAAAGTACCATAAATCGATGGATATTGAATGATCTTGACAAGTATGTTTGCTTGTGCATCTCTTCGTGCCCATATTACACCAAGTTTTGAAAATAAACGGTAACAGGTCACTTCCAGTCTCAGCGGGAATATTGTCACTCACACATTAGGATGTTGGTATATCCGGTCGAAGAGTCTCGAGTTGGATGAAGTGCACATCGTGAATCCTCCTGCTAATAATCACCATCAACCAAAATAACTTCAAGTTAATCTTTATTCATCGTCGAAGCGCCCGTACTAAGAGCCAATACATCAATAGAGATCGGGAATTTAAGCCCAACACATAATCAATCAACCTTTGAAAACTCAGCATTGAACTGAAGAGATGCCTTCACAAACGAACATAAACAGGTCGCACTATTGTTTCTTAATTTTACACATCATTTCGTGCATAAAGTTCTGGTGAAGAAGAGATGGAGTAAGCACTTAAATTACAGGCAATCGATCTTGAGTTCGAGAGCCCGATTACGCCTACTTCAGCCGGGACAACTGAACAGCAGTATTATCAGCCCTCTTCACACACAATATAGGTGCCACATAGACGCAAGGCGACTGTGTTTTAACTACCTAACAACTGATTCGTGCTTCCGTAAACAAAAATTCAATAAACAAAAGCGTTTTTTCGCCTATGATAATTTCTATTACTGCGAAAATGACATATTAACACACCCCACCCCCGCAACTCCCTCAAACAGACAGGTTAAATATACTTTTGAACATACATAACAAAAACTAAAAAAAATCTTTTGAAAAAAAGGTACTACTGCAAACGCAAGAAAGCAGGGTAAAAAAACAGGGAACTAACACTTACCGACGATGTCCAATAACTAATAGTCGAATTTTTGAGCCTAAATCATCCCATTCTGGTATATGCACAAAAGTGCCAACCCGGTGTAATTCATCAATGCTATTGACAACATCTGATTGGCTAAAGAAATAAAATAAAATAAAAGAGGACAAAAAGAAAATAATTTGATTGGCAAGAAATTGTGTGAAAGGTAAAAAAAGAACTGACAAAGTCAAGAGGAGTAAAGCAACAGAAATATGTAAAACGCATAAAACCCACAGAAGCTGATCATATTGATTGAGTTATATCTCTTATTGACTGAGTTTCGACATAGAACTTTGCAAAACAAAAACTGCACCAGTTCAAGTTGCCACATTCACACAGCACACAAAAGTAAAGTTAATAAAGGAAAAGGAAATTCAAAAGAATTACAAGGAGCAGAAACTGTACAGCAGTAGAGGAAACCTTCGTGTGCTTTCGGAAGTGTGTTGGCGATGTTTGTTACTTTCCGGCTGCCCACACCATGGAAGTTGATTGATTCTTCGGGCACGCACCTGGAACAGAAGGAGGGTTAGTGTCGCGTGACCGCAGAGCCCAGAGGACAACTGCTTGAAGCCGGTCACACAAGGCCTGTATGAACTGGTTTTTCGGTTTGGTTCCGTATTAGTAAATTTACCGCCGGTTACGGACCACTATCGTAGGGTAAGTCGGGATGTACAATTGTTTGGGGTCGAACCTTTTCTAACCCCCTCACTCCACAGTGGAGATACAGCATAACTCGCTGGCATGCTGGTCATCTGAGGGAAACACCTTACTGATTTTACACCACTGTTCCCCAGCAGACCTCCAGCATAGTGTAAAACAAAAAAATTCTTATACAATGCCGGTAACTGTTTTTAGTCTAATCGCTACACTAACAACCTTGCTGGCATGGTAGGATCTGCAGACAGTGTAGCTTGTTGGGTCATTGCGATATGCAAGCCCGGCGACCACCACGTCAAGGTAGCAGCTATTGGTTGGGGTACACTAGTAATAACAGATATGACATGGAAAACACGAGAACTAAATGGATATAAAACATCACAAGGGGTAAATGGGCGAAGTTCAACAATGGCGTCCCATGAGTGCGAACGCTTCAATGACCTTGAAAGCATACTAGTCGTTGACTGACGGCACCTTTCATTATCATAGCTGAAATATCAACGCTATTCACCAACTAAGCAGCAAATTTCACCCAGATCACGTTTTTAAGTACTGTTTGGACAACGTGTCAATAGCTCGTCAGGGTTAGGATTACGGTTAAGCTATTGGGGGTTAGGGTTAGGATCAGAGTCATAATTAGGACTAAGGTTAAGTTCACGATTAGGATAAGGGTTGTAATTAGGGTTAGTGTTGAGTTTAGGGTCAGGGTAAGGATAAGGTTCCATTATCCACATTTTCCTGGTTAGTAGTTCTCGATCTTCTCACTGGAAACCATATTAATTCAACTGAGGGCTTAGGGGAACACTGCACAACAGTGTAAGAGACATAAACGATTCACAAAAACAGCTCATCTTCAGTCACCTCGGTGAATACATGTACAGAAACTAGTCTAACTTAGCAACTGATACTCCTCATTATAACTGGGACGTATTTTTAAGTCATGTCTGAGAAAGATACCCTGTTTAATGTGTTTTCATGCATTTTCTTGTAAATATACGCCATTTTTGTGTAAAAGTCATTTACTTTTATGATTGGTTGCCTGAAGGTCACTCGTGCGTTCGTATCCCTTGGGACGTTATTGTTGAACTTTGCCGGTAAATGTATCTGCGCCATCATCACTAAGAACGATTTAAACATATCACCAATAGTCTTCAGCCATTAGATTTTAGCCTCCCGAAGACCCCAGCCAAAAGCCAAGAGTCAAAGACTTCATAGATGATACAAGATCTGATTTCACCACGCCTCCCCCCTCCCCAACCTAATCCACCGTATGCCAGCTAACATTGCTTGTCGAGGAAGGTGGCTTGGAATGTGTTGCAGCAGCACGTACCTTAGCTTCACAACCTCATCGACCAACTAACTAACCCTGCTTGCCTAGCACACTATACTTAATCCTAAAGTTCAAATTTTGTCAAGCAATGGAAAAGAGGTTGTATGGACCAAAGGTCAAATATCATGTCAACAAAATAATCAATACTAACACAAATAGCACTATAGGATAAATAAAAACCTCTGGAAACAACTGTGATTACTTTCACATACAACAGGAGAGAAGGTTATCACACTGTTATGACCGGACGACGGCCTAGTATATCATGAGCGAATGCTAACTCGCTGGAGCCGGTTAATCTGTCCTGATCGTACGACAACAACCAACAACAATAGTAACACCGCCAGGCCGAAAAGACAGAAGTGTCTCAAAACAACAGTCAAGAGAAGGTTGACAGCGCTTGCGTATATATATATATGTTTAAAATGACCTTGAGAAGCACTTATGTCATTGATAAACTTGGACAGTGAACAACCAATAGGATTTCAAAGGTCATAAGTAGCGTGGGAGAAAATTAGCTCATAAATCAATCATTGTGGTGAGAAAAAAATACAGACATGTAAAAATCACAAGATCCTTTTTGTTCTGAAACTAAAGCCAACCAATAAAACTTTACAGTGTTGTAGTCAATGCAGTAGTCAGCAGCCCTGTGAAACTTTATGAGCACTCGCCATCTAGTTTTTTATATTCTGAACATAAAAGTTTTTAAGAAACTAAAACTAGCCTCTCTAAAAGGAAAAATGAATTCAATTACACTTGTGAAATTTCGTCAGCAATCAACATCAGACGGAGAGAGATCATTTGAAAACCGAGGAGTTACTGAAGAGCCAGCTGTCGTCTCGTCCCATATTTCGGGACTCCTCAGCAGTGCGCACCCAAGACCTTCTGGTTACGAGACCAAGATCGTTGATCATTCCACCATTTGGATCCGGATTCAATGGGTGCACACCGATGAAGAGTCCCCAAATAGGACGAAATAGCTGGCCATCTAGTGCTTCCTGGTTTTTTCAGTAATCTCTCTAACTGATATTTATCCGTCGTGAAATGTAAAGAATTCGAAATTAGATTAATCCAAACCTCCAGAAATCTCATAGTCTAAAGAAAAAGAAATACTCACTCTGTACTTGATTTCTTTAGAAATATTCCAGCATATGGAGCATTCAGTTTAATTTTTCTACGAATTGAATTTGCTAAACGTTCGTCAGTAATCTAGTATGTATAAGATAGAAATACAATAGAAGAGATTTAAAAATGTATTACGTAATAGATATAGTGTAAGAAAGACTGATTCAAAACTAGCTCCTAGCAACATACGACCTCACTTCTGTATATATACGGCAATCAATATAAAGCCAAAGTTGGTCACTCTTGTAGTGCGGCTATTGTGTAATAAAAACAATTATTAAAGATTAACCTAACAGATTATAGGTTTCTAGACAGCAGATGCTACAAATTCCCTGGAATAATTTCAGCCCTGAGTCAGATTGAGTCATTATAAATTATTTAAAATAATCCCAGTGTTGCAGAAAAATCAAAATAGGATTTTTCTGAACGTTCCAATGTGTACACCACAGCTTCTTTGTCTTCTTCAACAGAATTATTCAGATTTTATTAACCATCAAAATTACATCTATTATTATTATTCCCTTGGGTTCCGAGTGGAACATAGGACTTCAACAACACATCTCCACTTTCTTCTATTTTCTGCTGTTCTCTTCAGATGAGTCCACGATTGCCCATAATCTATCATCTCCTTTTCCACCACACGATCTCCTGCCTGTCACCCTCTCACTGACAAACCACTCGTTGCTTTCCATCCGGATTCCATTCGAGGAGCGATGTCATCCGACGGTCTCCTCAGCGTGTACCCTATCCATCTCAATTTTCTCATACATATTTGTTGAGCGATCGGCTGTTGCTTGTTGGTTTGCTGCCAGCCAGAGTTTCTTGCTGCTAATTCCTTCTTTCTGGCCGACTGACCATTTGATCTTCAGTATGGAGCCAGCCAGTGAAGTGGGCAGCTGTTGATAAAATTCTGTAACTTGCTGGAAATCCTTTCCGTGATACACCCGCCAAGTTCCTGACCCATATAGAAGCAGAGAGTGACTTCATATTTGTGTTGGACAGAATCCGAATCTTGTTCCTTATGCTGGCTGAGTGAGCAGAAGATTTCCAAACTACCTTTCCGATTCTGACTTTGACATGTTCGTCCGTTCCGCCTGTAGTTGAAACGATGCTTCCTAGATAAGTGAAGGAAGTAACCTCATTCAAAGCTCTCTCTTTGATGGTGATTGGAGCTGGTTGTTGTGGGTAGTGGTTCGTTATCTTTATCACCTCCGTCATCACCATCAAAATGTATACTCAAAAATTAAATAAAGGGTTCGAGTGGGAAGCCGTGACCAGTAGGGTACAGCAGGTTGAAGATGAGGCAGTAACTCATCGAAGAAGACATTGCGAAGTGGTTGCGCTATATCGTGAATTGGCAGAAGTTAGAATTCATGGGCCATTGGATCGTGTTCCAGTGGCTCAATGGTCTACGAGCTCGCCTTGTAACCAGAAGGTCCTGGGTTCGAACCCCGGTGGGTGCGTGCTGATGAAGAGTCTCAAACTACGACGAAACAGCCGTCCAATACTCCAAGGTTTTCCAGTGGTTCTCTAACTGATGTCAGCTCATGATGAAATCCTCCATCCAATCAAATTGAAGTCAGTTCCTCTGAAGGTCACTTGTCGGTAGACATTTCTCCCAATAGAAAAATGTTAACAGTCATCACATATTTGTAATGACTAATGTCAAATTGTCATATTTGCGTATTTGTCTGTAAGAGTGTGCGTGTATATGCTGTTTGTCATGTGGAAAACACGTCGAAACATTATAATATTTCATAATATGGTCATAATATAGGATTGAATGTTTTTCTGCCTCATCTGTCTTGCTTCCATTAGAGTCTGCCATGTAAGTGATAAGTTTATCCCTTTTCTCCCATTTACTTCATTCGATGTGGTTAAAGTATGCAAGGCTTCAAAGGTCAATCTTTCTTTATGTGTTGAATGAAAACCTCTTCCTAGAATTTCGACATTGTCGAAATCAATCTTAAGTCCGTTGTCTATCCCCATGCATTGCTATAGCTGATCTTTTCTCTGCACCTTCTAATTCTACTTCATTTCTAGGCGGACATTTTACGCAGAGGCTGTGTTCATTCACTCTGACCTTCCTTCACCTGTCTAATGCTCTCCCCTAAATAACAAGCTTCACATTCTGAACCCTTTATTCTATAGACATAGTCGTTTTGTGCTACTTTTAAAACCATATCTTTGACATTCACCAAAGCTTTCTCTAAAGAATTTTCAACCTGAAAGGGCTGATAAATTTCAATTGAAAAACCAAATAACATCATCGTACGTATCATATATCCGCATGGAACACACTACAGATGAATATTTAGCATTGCTGTGACCAGCCTTCTTTGTGGTATCACATTAAGCTCGATTAGATGACGTCGTATTTGGTGGATGGTTACTTACAGTGGAATCCAAGATGCACGTTTTGTCCTTTCTAGAAGTCGCAAACCGAATGTTCGACTCATGTTATTACTTATTATTTGATGAATCTTGGTCTAATATGGACACCAAGATATGCGCCATGCAACAACAGAATGCAAGCAATTCTACGGAGACAGCAATGATCGAATACGCAGAGTCACCGCACATTTTCAACCCGGTGACACCAGGTTTCTTAGACGTAAAGCAAGACTGCACGCAGTGAAGCTTTGTAAACCAGACCCTTGACGGCCAAGCTGACGTCGCGATTGCGCCAGAAGTGCCGTAAATTGGCTTACATCACCTTAGCTCTTACTATATATTTAGAAATCCTGTATGTGTGTCACGCACACCCATGACTCCACTAGGGATCGAAGACACGGTCCTCAGGTTGCAAGCTCGTTGATCACTCACTCAGTTACTGGAACCGAATTCAATGGCCCACTGATTCTAAATTCTAAAAATATGAGATATATTACACGATAGCTAGCCAGCTAATGTCACCGGTGAGTATTCGTCTACACACCGAACTTCGGGGACACCAACCACCTGAACATGATCTCCAGCGTGGAGCATCAGTCACTGGTGAGCGCCAGATTAATTTCCAACTGTATGTTCGCAGGGATTTGTTTGACTTCAAGAGTTGATATCATCAGTTAGAGAGGCATTGAAAACATTAAAAAAGTACTGCACAGCTGTTTCGTCCCTGTTTGGGCCTCTTCATCAGTCCATGACCAATTTTGAAATTAATCAAACCCGCTGTAAAACCAAAACTTGAAAACAACAAAACAATTTTGACAAAAAATTATTTTAATATTTTTCTCCCCTCATCATCATAATCATCATTATACGAAATATTCTTACCTCAATCATTTTAACAAATTTTGGGAATAAAGGTGCACCGGTAATAGCTATCACAGGGACAATCGGGAAATTTTCAGGTATATTTTGAGTAGATAAAGCTAATTGTGAATTAGGTGCTGAAGCGTCTGATCCATCAGACGCCGACCCATCTCCAGAAGTTGGCTCATTTGCACTATTTTCATTTGGAGGATTTTTGTTTCCATTGCTTGAAAATGTATACCTTTGAATGAATTGGATCTGTAAAGTAACAAACACACAAACACACACATACACAAACAGGAGATGAAAACATAAAATCTCTATATTAAAACTAAGAAGGTTAAAAAAAAGTTGAACAATGTAACTCTTAATAAAAATATGGACATGTTAATTTATCTGGCTACTAGTCACATCTATGCTGCTCCGGGGTGGTCAAATGATAGAATGCTCGCCAACGACGAACATGGTCCGATTCCCCGACAATGCACTCCTAAATCTTGAGATTAGCTACCCCACCCCCGTAAAAAGCAACATCACCGCCACCGGAACTTTAAAGCTCAAGTTCGAAGCCACATGTTCCACTTGGAATGAAGAAAAGTTATATCTATTGGATAAGGAAAGTTGATATTGCCTGACATTCAAATCTAGGTCAAGTCAAATTATCACGGCTCAGGAGTACGAACGCTCCAATGACCTTGAACGCGTACTAGTCATTGGATAACGAGTCCTACCACCATTATTCTAGCGCTGCTATGAACAACACTGTTCGTGAATGCAGGTACAAATTTTATCCCTACCTCGTTTTTAAGTAGTGTTTGTACAATGTGTTAATAACTCGTTAGGGTTAGTGTTACGATTAAGGTTACGTTAAGGGCAATAATTCGGGTTAGGATTACGAATAGGATTAGGTTTGAGAGGTTGGTAATATTTATTTTTATTTCTATTATCCGCACGTTCCCAATCAATAATTGTTGATTCTCTTACTGGAACCCATACTAAATCAATCGATGGCTTTTAAGGAAGACTGGAAAACGGGATAAGAGCGGTAAATGGGTCACCTTGGTGAATACACAGACAGGAACTGGTCTACCTTAAAAACTGATACTCCTCGATATAACTGGGGTGGGGGGTATTTTAAAGTTATGTCAGGGGAAGATAGATCCTCTTTAATGAGTTTTACCATTCATTATTCCCTGTATTTCTCTTGTAAATAAACGTTATTTTTATGCAAAAAGCCACTGTAATTCCTGATTAGTTGGCTCAAGGTCACTGGTGAGTTCGCAATTCACAAATAGCGATAGTTTAACTTTGCCCAAATCTAAATAGCTATTTACACAGTTTCTTTAAGTGGGACATCAGAAAGCAGTGTTACGACGACGTCAGAGGAGTATCTCCAAATGTGAATGTTTCGAAAAGAGATAGATAGTAAGTGATGTGACAAACTGTTCACGATGAATTAAAATCGATAATCTAACTAACATAAGTCTGAACTGTGTACAAAGAAGGCAGTACATCCCACTGAATGAGAAAACAAAACGATAATGTTGTTTCGACTGACGTTTCACTATTTAGTAATATCAAACTAGAATTCACAATAGTATACGGTAATTTTCAAGTATTGGTTTTGTAGGGATTTTGTTTGATTGGTTGGAGGATTTCATCATGAGCTGACATCAGTTAGAGAACCACTGGAAAACCTGGGAGTACTGGACAGCTATTTCGTCCTAGTTTGGGACTCTTCATCAGTACGCACCCACCGGGGTTCGAACCCAGGACCGTAAGCGTAGTTCTTCTCCGCTCCTATAAACGATTTAGTACGACCAATGGTGGATAGACTTCAATCTGCCTCTGAAAATACTCTCATGTTGCCAGAGATTTGTAGTCCCTGTGATAGCCAGGTAATTCCTATTCACTACCTTCGTGTCAACCAGGTGTTTCTCACTAAAAAGGTAAAATGGCTAGTCCAAACGTCTGGCAATTATAAAACTGAACTATTAGATATGCTAACTAGCGTATGAACTTGTTTTCGTCACCCAAAACTATAGGAACGCAGCTCCACTGTCTTATACCTCAGAACTCATGTCAAACGCTCGGAGGCATGGGGGTGGCAGGAGTGGTCCCTTAAGGCAACCACCACCTGTCCCAGTTTGGGTGTCTAGGCAGGAAACCTAAGTGGTCCAAGGCTTACTGTGGCCGATTACCTCCAACCATCTAATACTAAGAATTCACAGTGTACCGTGACGTCGAGCCACCTAGTGGCATGCTGTGGCCACGTTGCAAACTTGACTGACAGGATTCAGTTTGTACCAAACAAAGTCCAGTCCAGGCAGTAAACGCAGGCCTCGTACAGACTACGAGAACTTGTGTAGCGCCCCTCTCGGTACTAAGTTTTTGTTTCAATAATAGATAATCACAGTCCTTCGGCATGCCATAATGTTTACGCTGTCAAGTGGCTGAAGTGGTAGAGATAACAGACCATGAACAGATTGTTGGATATGATAAGTGTATAAGATTATAAAAACAGCATGTGATGGGAATGCTTATCATAGTTGTGTCAATTTTGTCACTCCATACGAAGGGGAGTGTCGGAACCAGGTCAAATTCTGTCTTAGTCCGTCATTCCTACTCGGACAAGTGTTTTGATTCTATTATATATGAAGTACTTCTGATGATATGAGATGTTCTTTATGATTTATGACACTTTCCTGGATGATTTCAATGCCGTCAAAATCAATTTTGTGGCCTGATTCTACATCGTATAGTCTCATGGCTGATGATTTTTCAAACTTTTCCACTTCAACTGGATTTCTCAGTGGTTGGAAAGAAGTGTGTCTACCAGTTTGACTGCAGCTGCGGAGCCAGCTACATTGGGCGTACAATCAGGCAGTTTCATCGTCGTATTTCTGAACATCATCCAGCGTGGTTAAGCAAGGGAGGAGAAAAAAGATCTATTCGTAGTTCTATTTTAGCACACCTTGTTGATACTGAGCACAAGGTTGATGTGAATACTGCATTTAAAATTATTTATTGCATTCCGACTAACCTTAACTTTGCTCTACGAGTGCGTCTTCTACAGACAGCTGAAGCAATCGGAATCCACCAGAAGAAACCAAGCCTATGTGTACATAAAAAATTTGTACGGCCACTTTCCTTACCGTGGCCATCGTTACAAGACAGGACTACGTCGCCCCCCTCCCCCTATTAAATTATAATTATCCAAATTATTTTATTTTTATTTTGACCACTTCATCTTTAATTACGTGTTATTCTTGTAAAATTAATTTATTTTATCCATTTCTACTTTTTAAATGTGTATTGATTTTCTGCGTTAATTATCAACCCATTGACATTTTGACACTGTTTAATTATTGTTAACAAACATATCACCACTTGATTGGTAAACTGTTGTGTACTGTAAAAATGCTACATATATTAGAATAGAGCCAGAGAAGAGGATCTAATTGAAAAGTAAATATTTCTTCGCCCAATCTTCCTCTTTTCCAAATGTCTAAATGGGGATATTTTCTATGTTGGAAAGAAGCTCTAGGATGTCCATTTCCAGTGACCTTGATTTCTCGTGAGGCTTGCCAGATGTGCACTGCATCACATTTTGAACATTTTATCCTGTCGACACAGACCATGAATCCTTTGGAATTTCATCTTTCGCATGAACAAGATTGCTGCTTTTTATAAGTTCATACACCTAACAAATCCAACAATCTGAACATGGTTTTTTACCGATTTTTACCGATTCAGCCACCTGATGACGGAAAAATTACCTCATGTTGAAGAATTATGTGATTAAATTACTGTATATAAGCTGAGATTTGCAAATTCTGGTTTAATATTACTGCTTTGATAAAGCTATTAACAGCAGCACTAAATAGCGAAATCTTAGTAAAAGCCATGATATCGTTTCGTCCTTTCATTCATTGGGAGATACAAAATAGTAGTTTTGCTCAAACTGTATATATATATATATATATACATCGATGTGTGCGTCGGTGACACAGAGGTAGGATTCTTGCCAACCACGCGTGTGGTCCGGGGGTTCGATCCCCGGCCACCGACGCACTCCTTTACCTCGCTAAGCCAGTAATAAGACTGGTAAAGAGGGGAGGTTGGGTATGAGGCTGGCCAGCAACCCCATCCCTTAAAAATAAACACCACTGCTACAGAAACTTCAAGTCTCTAGCTTGAAGCCCTATGTTCCACTGGGAATGTAAAAGGAATTATATATATATATATATGTATATATATATATATAAGAAGTTAATTGATGGATGATGACTCGTAGTGGAATCCAGGATAACGCGCATTTCGTCCTATTTGGGACTCGTCATTTGGATGTACCTGCTAGTCATCATTCACCAATTAAATACTAATTACATATCCAGACATCGTCGAAGCATCTGCACAAGAAGCCGACATTTCAACCTGAAACCGAGCACTTCGGTCCAATCAATCAATCGACGGGAAAATCTAAAATTCAATTAAATAATTAATATGTCCCGTTGCACAAGACGTGGCTCTCGTGTCCCAAGTGGTCTAGTGGATAACGCTTCGGCGTTGGAAACTACAGGCATCGGGTTCGAGCCTCGGTGGGAACATCATCACGCACTGACTGGGAATGCAGGTACATCCGGTCTCTGACGAGTCCCAAATAGGACGAAATGCACGTTGTCCTGGATTCCAGTGCAAGTCACCATCCACCAGTTAACTTATATATATATTGATAATAAGATGTCTCCGATCATATTTATACCCTCAGTTAAAAAAATAAGTGTCATCACACATCATTAACAAGCATATTGAGAAATACCTGAGTAAAAAGTGCTTGCATCACATTCACACACATTATGAATCGGCCAATATATATATATAGACAGACAGAGGTCTTACCTGTGATAATGGCTTCAACTTTGATTCCCCCAGAATTGTATGGTGAAATAGCCGTTGTTCACGGTAAGTAACATAGGATGAACTTGTAAGTCTGGCATGTTGTTGTATATAAGCCAGCCTTCCAAGTCCGAGAACACGTAAACCACTTGTAAAAGACTTCTTTAACATTCCGTCTTCAGATGACTATACATACACACACAGAGACAGATGTTATCAAGTAGAATAGATCTTTTGGAGGATAGTAAATGATCTGATGAAGTGAAAAAAGAGAGAGGATCAAATTTAGTATATTATTTAGTGATTAGGATGTATTACAATAAAATTTAGTGGTCCAGTACAAGTTCAATTACTGGACTATGCATCATACTCGGTATGTCAGTGTGCTTGTGATACTACTAGTTTACCGAAGCGGAAATATGGGGAGTGACCTGTGAACGCATGATCAATCCATAGAATATATATATATATATGAACGACTACACTGACTCCTAGTTTAGAAATAGGGGGTGAAGTGGTTGATGGAGCGTATTGACTACTTCACTTATTTGGGAAGTTGCATCAGCCCCAATGGGTTGATCTCTGAAGAAATCTCAGCACGGATACAGAAGGCCAGTTTACGCCGTCTCTGGCATAGAAGACGTGATATCCGGCTGGCTATCGAACAAAAGGTGTGTGTACTGCTCAGCAGTCCGCTCCGTCCTCCTTTATGTCTGTGAGCTAGACCTGGCCATTGAGAGTAGAAGACATGAAAAGATTAGCTGTCTTCGATCATGTGTCTGTCTAGGCATCGGTTGAGTGGAGGAGAAATCAATCGACGAGGTTGTTACACCGAATGAGAGAGATGGTTAGGACATGTGTTACGCATGCCTAGCCATCGCCTTCCTCGACTGACGGGCAATGTTAGCTGACATAGGGTTAGGCTGGAGAAGAGCTAGCGGCGGTCAAACCAAAACATGGCTTCATCAGTCAATCAAATCCACAACAGTTAGTTTAAGCCACGTAGGAAGGTGTAGACTTCCTGGTTGTGGTTCCCAGGACAGTAAAAACCAATGGCTGGAAACAATCGGTGATATGGCTCAAAATCGTTCTCAGTGGCGCAGATGCATCCACTCCTTGTGACTTATAATTTCCAATGAAACTATATTGTTCTTCGTTACTACTATTCCTTTGTCTCTCACCTCTGTTTACGGTCTCTAATAGGCATTTCTTCTACTTTCTTCTCGTGCTTTGTGTACTACATGGAGTGTGGTGCCTTGAACTACTGCACATCAGTGCAAGGTTTTTTGTCGAAAAGACAGATATCAATTGAACATACATAAAGCAAAACTGTGCTGACCAGGTCTCCAGTGTCATTGAAAATTATGAGCAATATGTTTATCGTCACTCACACAACATTGTAAGCCCAATTAATACTCACTGATATCTTTCAATAAGCGTTTTAACACTGACTATGAGAACATGTTCTGTATAACTAACCACATTCCCATTTATTTTATGTCCAAAATTGTTGAATATCAGATATTTAGATTGATGTAAGGTAATGTGAATTACTTTATCGTGCAATTGAAGAAATTGGTTGTTAAAGAGAACAATCAACTACATGAGAACATACCTATCTCAAGTATTGTGTATGCCTTAAGTTCCTCTTTCCATTGAAACAAATAGCCAATGCCTTTATAAAAATGTGCCCTTTCAGAATACTTCGTCATTTAGTTAATTCGTAGTACATTGAGGTTAGACGTAGCACTAGGTAAGGAAAGGACATCAGTAGTTGAGGTTGTGGAGTTGCATCGAGTGAGATGGCTTGAATGTATGCTGTGCATACGAACTCACTGCCTTCGCCAAGCAATATTAGCTGACACAGGATTAGCGAGGAGAAGGGTTAGGGTAACCAAACCAAAACATGACTGACATCAATCCATGAAGTTTTTGACTGTTAGTTTCAGCCAGTCACGTAAAAAGGTACAGCCTGCCTGGTTAGGGTCATTTGGATTTTAAGAACCAATGAATGACTGAAGACTATTGATGATATGGCTTAAAATCGTTGTTAATGGCACAGATGAGTTCACTCTTTGCTATCTCCTAGATACATAAAACTCTAGTCTTCCTCAATGTTACTGTTCTTTCTCCCGTACATTTCTGTTCAATATAGCTCTCTTAAATCTCTACCTTTGTATGCTATGTCGAGTGTGGCAATTCTAACTGGTGCACCTCTGAGCAGAGTTCATAGTGAAAACTAAGTGTTTTTTATGCCACGTTCGACCGTGGTTTTACGGATGGTTTGTAGACTACTTGAAAGTTGTAAGGTTACATGAATGGAAGACGATGAAGTCTCTAAGGACAAAAAATTATGAAGTTCAGTAAGAACGGCCGTAATGTGTTTATCACAAGACTTTTCTTCCTTATTTAGACACATACTAATCGGGTATGTACAATACATGCCAAGCATTTTAGTTAATACGAATTTATGACACTATCTAATGTCTTGTGTCCACATTTTCTTACCGCGTAACCGCTACACTTTACAAATTGATTGCAACATGATTTCAAAATACTCTTATGACTGAAACTCTGTAAGTAATGACCGATTTCTATATACAAATTAAAGTGGTGTCAAGAAATCCTAGCCAACTGCTGTACATCAGAAAACTGTGGCGACAACTCATCTAACCCCTTGGGTGAATACGTGGTCTAGAGTGAAGGATGCTCAATAGCATTGAACACTTTGTACGTCATTGCAGAGTTCTCTGATAAACATACGGATACACTACTTTCGTAATAAATATTGTAGGCGAATAATGTTCATACAACTATACTATAAGGTAAAAAAAAAGTAACAAGGAAAATATAGTGCAGACTATTTGCTCCCTACATATTTTCATGTACTACCCTGGCACACACAATGTGTGCAGATGTATGATATGGCCTGAAAGTCCAAGGAGAAGTGAATCGGATCTAAAACCCAGATTCACTGCATGAAAGTTGAACAATTAGATCAAACGGCTACACTCCCACTAATTTATAGTGATCTAGCTGAACAGAATGATATTTATGTGAACTTTAAAAATTTCGAATCATCTATTTTAGTCGAAGGCAGTAATCAGTAGCTTATCGATGCTTTATGCGACTCCCACACTTGGAAAACCCAAGTAAACTTCTATGAAACTGGAAGAAGTGCACAAAGACACTTATCTGGACCCGCATTAAATCATACCAGCTAGGAAATCGAAACCTTCAAACTAAGAATACAGCCTTTTGAAGATTAACCCACTGGTTAAGTGAATGAAAACAAGGCGAACTTTCTGGAATCCCGAGGGGTTGTGACTGTTCGAGTCCACCACGTTAGGTGTGATAACACATACTCGTCAATGACATGAGATGCTGGTAACAGTATAAAGTGAATAGAGAGAAGGAAGAATTCGTGACACATATGAGTGACCGGTAGGATAACGTGCTCGCCACGTAACTTGAAGGTCCTGTCTCCGCTTAACAATGAGGTCACGTGTACTCACCGTTGAGGGACTCAAGTTACACACAAGGAGTTGTTTAGTCCCTCGCGCTACGTAAATCTCTAACTGCTATCCGTTTTTCAAGAAATCTACCACGAAACGAAGTTCATGGCGGATTCACTAAAGAAACATTCTCAAGTAAGATGTAAAAAATCATAAAATATGTCACCAAAATTGTTACTGAGATAGATTTTTATGAGATGTTTAAACTAATACACCTTAAACTTTGGTATATAAAAAGATCTGAAGCCTACAATAACACGGAAATAATAAAACACAAGATGTTCGCAAAGCATATGAATGAGGAAACACTGACGTGTGCTCTTAAAAACACAAACTGAGTGATGTTAACGCTTTTAATCAAACTGATGGTGCATACGAAATACTTGAATGAAGTCTGGAATATACCGGCATACGTACCTTCTGAGCATTAATACCTGAAATATTTATTCCCACATTACCTCAATAAATAGATTAATCGTTTCTATTTCTCTAGTACAATTTCTCCGTTGTTGTAACTACAGGATAGAGCAATTGGCTGAAGGAAAGTCTAAGCTAAACAGGGAAAACTCCAAGGAAAAAGAACTTAGTCTTCCGAGAGTTAACTCTCGGACAAAAATGGTAAAAAGGAGGGGAGAATATTGGGTATGGATAGTAATAAGCAAAAAATTCTACCTATTTAACATAAATTCTCCTACTTCAACCATTATTTAGCCAATATCCTACCACTGTCAAGCCAAAATTTTCCTATGATTTAACCAATATTTCACCAAAATGTTACCAATATTTGGCATTATCTAACCACTACTTTCCCATTTTAGCCCTTATTTAACCAATATTCTCCAATTTTGATTATTATTCAAGCAGGATTTGCTCATTATACTATCATCCTAACCATTTGACCAAAATCTGCTTACTTTAACCATTATTTAACTATTCTTGACCCATTTTTGTCTGAATGGGTTTGATTCATAAATCTGTAAGTTATGGCCGACTAGCTCTTCTGCAAGCTGCTGCATGTCTGAAACATCAGAATCAACCTGCAAGTGTGGGAAAAACTTATTACATGATTTTTGGCACTTGATTTGGTAACTCTACATGACGGGCAATTTCAAGATGTTATGACAAACTTCTAGTGAGTTTATAATTAATCATCTGCATTCTTTCGATATAATAGTAACGCTTCTGTGCACATGCATGTATGACACTAGATTTAGAAACTAGTGTTAAACATTTAGCGAATGGAAGCGCTAAAATACTAAAATCTACAAGGCATGATGACCTACATGTACCGTTCGCAACAAATTAACTTCGTACATCAAATGTTCCAATACCCAATGTGCTTATTATGAACTGGTGTAAAACAAGATTAATTCTTTATATTGCATTCTCGGTTGTAGCGTAAAGGTTGCTGATCTTCCGTGAATCTCTATGTGGTTTGTTCCACCACTCGTCTACCATACCTTGTACCCTCCTTGGATAAACCGAGGGATTCGTAAGTTACTTAGACGTAAATCCAACGTAAACACAAATGTTGGAACTTGTTTGCCACACTTGAGACTTCTGAAACCAGGCAATTATATAACACTGCTAGAAATGAAGCTATTGCACAAATCCGCCAATCAAGGATGAAATTTGAAGCACACCTGGCTCAAAATGCAAAGGCACAACCAAAGAAAATTTTCTCGTACATGAACTTCAGGAATAAAACATCCAATGGTGTCCCAAACCTGACTATTGACGATGACACAATCGAAGAAGATCAAGAAAAAGAAAAAGCAATGGCAGACTACTTCTCCCAAGTCTTCATACAGGAGTCACCACTCCTTATAGGATCAGCTCTGACTGCATCAGAGGAATACGGGATAGATTCCGTCGACATTGACCAAGGCATTGTGCTCAACTGCCTAATGAAACTAGAGGTAGGGAAATCAATGGGTCCTGATAATCTTCATCCAAGGCTTCTCAAGGGGCTATCAGCTCACATAGCCGGCCCACTGATCATGATCTTCAAGCTATCTCTCCTAAATGGAGTGTAACCACGTGACTGTAAAGACGCCATGGTAACCCTTCAAATTACAGGCCTATCAGTCTCACCAGCACTTTAATTAAGACACTGGAAAGAATCATCAAGAAAAGCATAATGGCATATCTAGAAAATAGAAGCTTATTATCAAGAGCACAGCATGGCTTCCGAAGGAACCTCTCATGCCTGTCAAATCTCACAGCAAGAAGAAGCCGGGTCAAATCTAGGGACAACAGAAGACCCGTTGACGTCGTCTTCATAGACTTCAGCAAAGCCTTTGATAAAGTACCTCAAAAAAGACTACTCATGAAGTTGGAAAGTCTTGGTATCAAAGGCAGCTTACTAAACTGGCTCAGGGAATTCCTCACAGATAGGAGGCAGAGGGTTAGAATCAACTGGAGACTCTCCTCTTGGACAGCAGTACTTAGCGGAGTGCCACAAAACACGGTACTCGGACCTCTCCTATTTAATTTGTATATCAATGAGTTATCTCTGCTCACCGACTCTCCTATGGTTCTATACGTAGATGACTTAAAAATTTGGGGAGAGCTGAAGGGCAACAGTGACACGTCGACGTTGCAAGAGGACCTCAACAAACTGTCGGAGTGGTCCATGGAATGGATGCTCCCGATAAATGTGGCAAAATGTGCAACCATGCGCATTGGACAAGCAAGCACGAGCTCTTATGAACTATGGGGAATTACACTTCCATCAGTTCAGACTTACTTGGACTTAGGTGTCATAGTTAGCCACGACTTAAAAACTACAGCACACTGTAGCGCGGTGGCTGCACGTAGTTTCAGGTCATTATGGGCAATTCGTAGAGCCTTCACTAGAATCACCAGAGATATGTTCACCTCCTTATATACATCTCTAGTGAGGTCAAGACTGGAAAATTTCATCCAGGCCGCCAGCCCTTGTCTACAAAGGGACTCACTTATTCTAGAAAGGGTTCAAAGGAAGGCAACACGTATGGTTCATGGCATGACTAACTTATCATACGAGGAAAGACTAGACAGTTTATATCTCTTCTCCTTGTCATACCGTAGGCAGGGAGGAGATTTAATCACAATGTTTAAAACTTTGAATAATGACTACGGACCTGACCTATTTTCTCTTTTCCTTCCCACCAGGTCGGAACACCTTAGAGGACATAGCAGGAGAGTTCAAAAGCCAAGAAGAAATCATACTGCTGTTGAGTAATGGTTCTCACACCGAGTCATAAACTCTTGGAACCGAATCCCAGAAGAAGTGGTGTCTGCAACCTCAGGTGATTCGTTCAAGAAGGTTTTGGACAACCACAGAAATTTACTCGAAAAGGATTAACATAGGCTCCAAGCCTTCTATCCTCAACCAATAAATCTGAAATCTTGTGTGCCTAAAATGGGGAGTTGTGTAGGGGATTGGTTGTACGCGGTTTGCAGCAGTCGGTATACGAAAGCCATGCTGCCGCTGTAGATGGAGCTACTCCTTTACCTCTTAGCCGTCCGGCGAGTTCGAAATTATTGGGCTAGTTGAGTTGAAGTAGGCTTAAAACTAAAAGCGAACAAATAAATAGATATTATTATCATTACCAAAGTCATATTTCCAAATCCTCTCTGAAGATTATCAAAAGGCATTGGGAGCTCTAAAAACTAATGACAGAATGGTCATATTGATGCCTGACAAAGGCTCAGGGGTGATGCTGATGGACAAAGATGACTACATAGCAAAGATGAAAGCTGTGTTAAATGACCCGTTGAGGCTTAAAGTTGACGACTACCAGATAGAAAAGACAGATGCAGCTGAAAAACTCATCACAAACGTACTGAGAGGTCTTATAAGGAAGAAATCGATTCACAACAATACACACAATGAAATGAAACCCCGAGGGTCTTGTTTGTCGCACGTCTATAGCCTTCCAAAGACACACACAAGACAAGTTCCTGTACATTCAATTATGAACTCACCCAAACACAAGGTTGCTGGTCGGCTAGCGGAAAGCCTTGCACACTGTGAAAGACTCATTTCATTTCTTATCAGTTCATGGCGTCATCTGATGCAACCTCTTTGTTCACAATGATCCCATCCAATCAAACCATTGGGATCATTTGTCAGCAGTCTGATCTTCTCCTACTCACAGAGTCGGAATTCAAACACCTATTGCTAATGTGTACCATGGATGTTCACTCTTTACCACCAAATAGATGGTGTAGCTATGGGAAGTCCACCTAGTCAGAGTTTCTTATTCTTAATTGTCTCTGACCAGCCAACCATATGGAGCCAGTGAAGTGGACAGCTGTTGATAAAGTCTGTAGTGGTTTGTTGGGATTGCTTTTCGTGACACGCAGTGCAAGTTTCCGACTCGTATAAATACAGTGACTGGCTCCACATTTATGTTGAAAAAAAATCCAAATCTTGCTGTCTGAGTGAAGAAAACCTCCAAACTGGTTTCAGGTTGATGAAGGCGTATCTTACGTATCCGGTTCTGGTCTACTTTGACATCTTCAACCGTTCAGGCTGTCTGTGGTTGAAACCGTGCTTCCCGAATTAGTGAAGAAAGCAACTTCTGTCATATCTCTTAATTTGATGGAGATTGGCGCTGGTTGTTGTTACTGCCGCTATGGTTGGTTGGTTATCTTCATCAACTCCGTCTTCTCTATGTTCACCTGGAATCCTATCATCGCTGCTTCTCCAGCCAGTCTGCTGGTTTTCGCCTGTAAGTCATCCAGTTTGTGTGATATCAAACATAAATTATCTGTGAAATCTAGATCTTCTTGTTGGCCTGTCCACCGTATTCATGTCTTCTCACCCCACAGGCACAATCTGACGCATTATGCAGCCCACTACAATTGAGAATTTCATCGGCGATAATAGACAGCCAGCCTTGTCTTACTCCTGTGTTCACTTCGAACGCTTCGCTGAGTTTCCTGTTGTGGATCACCTGACACTCCACAGCGGTGAAGTGGTTTCCAAATTACTTCGAAGGCCTTTTTGATGTCGATGAAGTTAAGAAGCAGGTTTGACTGCCATCATTTGCTTTGCTCGATGACTACGCGTACAGTCGCAATATGATCAACATATAATTTGACTTTCTTGAATTCAACTTGTTCTGGCGGGCGGAGTTCTGCATCCAGTTCATCTTTTATTCCCGTCAAGATGACGCGAATCGGTGTTTTGCCATGCGCGGACAACAGCATGATTCCACATCAATCTTTGCACAGGTCTGAGTTACCTTACTTCTGCAGCTTCACGGCAGTTTCTTTATCAGCTTCAGTGATTCTGTGGTGTAGGGTCGCTGGCGCCACGCGTAACTCTCCCTGTTTATCCAGCGTCTGAACTGGCCGAAACCTAGCGAGCCAGTAAACTGGAAGAGGTCAAACAAATAAATAGGTCATGGAATATAGTAATATAACCGTGTATGCTATCACCACATTGATTTCATCCAGCTTTCGAGTTATAATGAAACCTAACTCTCTCTGTGACATTTTACTCGGCGAATTATTTTCATGGATGGGGTAAATTTTCGGCTGCTTGGAAGAGCTTCCAGCTCTGTTATCGGCACTGTTAAACGGGAATTTGTTACAAACCATTAGAAATACAGGACTAACTGGGAACGTTGGAGACGACACTAGGTGGGGCCCTAGTGAAAAGTCATCAAAACTAGATTATATTCCAATTAGTGACCAACTACTTCTTAAAAATATCCAGATCATTACTCTACTAGGATGAAGTGATCACGCAATCGTACGGTTTCATCTTGTTCTCAGTGAGCACCTACAGTGGGACGCTACGCTACCATGTCTGTGCTATAGCGAGGCTGACTGTTTCGGATTACGAAGGCTTCTGTCCGACATGGAATGGCCCATTGAGTGGGCTGACTTATCCGTGGCTGAACACTGAGAAGTGGTAAAAGAGATCATTCACACAGCAGTCTGAGGTACCGTCCCTGTAGTCGCAACGAAGACGGAGGAAAGGTCCTCGTCGCTGAAGAGAAGTACGCAAAGCATTCTGCAAGCAAAGCGGAAGGCTCGGTCTAAGTGGCTAATATCAAGGAGTCAGACTGACCAAGATGCATACCTGGAACTCAGGAACCGGAGTCAAGAGTGGTAGGAGATCATTTGGAGCTCAGCTTGCAGAATGACGCCTGGCGGACCACAAAAGCCTGTACCGATTCATGTTGGAGAGAAAACCAACCAATCAGGGGTCATGCGCCTTAGTAGGCCCAAACGGTCAATATCTCACTAGTTTGGAAATCTCTGAAACATTCAGTCAGGCCCTCGTCAAGCAGTTAAACAGCAATGTAGTTATTAC